TATACTCCTTAATATTAAACCCCTCTACTCGTAATACTTTATAGGCCTCTACGTCTTCGAGCCGGAGGACGTAGAAGGTAAACGCTACCCGTACTCGGAGCTCTATATCGCGAGTACTTCGAGAGGCGTTTATACGAACGTTCTACTTAGCTAGGTACTTAGCTATCGTAGCTAGGCTTACTCTTATACTAGTACTCGCTTTAAGGTCCTCTCGAATCGTCTTATAAGGTACTCGCTAGGCTATTCGTTCTTCGATCTAGTTACGCTAGTTTTCGAGTCTAAAGAACGTAGGTATAATAATAGTATACTAGACGATATATATAGTATTTTAAGGTATTTTAGTAGAAGGAATAAAGGTATTAGGACTAAAGGAAACGGAGAAAGAGTAGTAGAAGGTAGGTAAGTACTCGCTTAGCTAAGGTTGAGTAGGTTAAGAGTTTGTTAAGTCTGGCCGACCCTATCTTCCGCTCACACGACCACGGGCAAGCTTTGCCGGCCTGCAGCAGCTGGGAGTTGTCCATTGAAGCCTTGCTGCATTTGACGTGATTGATGATGGTTTGATGCAGATTTGATTGAAAGATTAGATGCAAAGTCTCTCGTTTGGTCGACCAGCCTCGTTTGCTGCGAAGACCCTCGTCTGCCCCTCCTTCGTCCTCAGAGCAGCAGCAAGCAGACCCGCCAACCTCATCCACGCCAACACCAACAACACCACTCGCGCCTTCTTGACCGCCTCTAGCCGATCCGCCGCGCAGCCTGTCCGAGCAACAGCACGTCTCTTACAACAACAATACACCAACAAACACCATTACCTCACCCGCCCATCCACTCGCTACAACAAACCCACCTCCCTCGTAACCCCCGCCATCAAGAGACACTGCTCGCACCGAAGAAACATGTGTCGGCGCGAGGCAGACACCGCCGACTCCAACATGGACATCTCCAAGGGCCGCGAGGTCCTGCCCAAGAACGTCAAGCCATTACACTACAACGTCACCCTCGAGCCCAACTTCGAGACGTTCAAGTACGATGGCACCGTCGAGATCGAGCTGGATGTTGTCAAGGACACTACTTCTATATCGCTGAATGCGTTGGAGATTGATATCAAGGAGACGAAGATCACGTCGGGCTCGAATGTGATTTCTTCTTCGCCGACGCTTTCGCATGATGAGGATTCGCAGACGACGAAGATTGAGTTCAATCAGACAATTCCTGCTGGCTCCAAGGCGACGCTCACGCACAAGTTTGTAGGTTCGCTGAATGATAACATGGCCGGGTTCTATCGCTCTTCGTACAAGGCAAAGGATGGAGGCGAGGGCTGGATTGCTACAACTCAGATGGAACCTACCGACTGCCGCCGTGCATTCCCATGCTTCGACGAGCCCGCATTGAAAGCCACTTTCACTGTCACCCTGATTGCCGACGACAAGATGACTTGCTTGAGCAATATGGACGTCGCCGGTGAGAAGCAGGTCGATTCTGCATATGGAGGCAAGCGAAAGGCGGTCACCTTCAACAAGACTCCACTCATGTCCACCTACCTCGTTGCCTTCATCGTCGGTGAGCTGCAGGTGCTCGAGAGCAAGAACTTCCGTGTCCCTGTCCGTGTCTTCTGCACTCCCGACAAGGACATCAGCCATGGCAAGTTCTCCGTCGAGCTGGCTGCTCAGACCTTGGCGTTCTACGAGAAGCAGTTCGCCAGCGAGTTCCCTCTACCAAAGATGGACATGGTCGCCATTCCGGACTTCTCAGCGGGAGCTATGGAGAACTGGGGTCTAGTCACGTACCGTGTGGTTGACTTGCTGCTTGATGAGAACAATGTCAGTGCTTCGACTAAGCAGCGTGTTGCTGAAGTCGTGCAGCACGAACTTGCTCACCAATGGTTCGGCAACCTCGTCACTATGGACTTCTGGGACGGACTCTGGCTCAACGAGGGCTTCGCTACCTGGATGTCGTGGTACAGCTGCAATGTCTTCTATCCTGAGTGGAAGGTGTGGGAGGGATACGTCACGGACAACCTGCAGTCTGCTCTCGGTCTCGACTCGCTCAGAAGCTCTCATCCAATCGAGGTTCCTGTCAAGCGCGCGGACGAGATCAACCAAATCTTCGACGCCATCTCGTACTCCAAAGGCTCCTGTGTGCTGCGCATGATTTCGAAGTATCTTGGCGAGGATATCTTTTTGGAGGGTATCAGACGGTACCTGAAGAAGCACGCCTATGGCAACACCACCACCGGCGACCTCTGGGCTTCCTTGAGCGATGCGAGTGGAAAGGATGTTGAGCGTGTTGCGGACATCTGGACAAAGAATGTGGGATTCCCTGTCGTTACTGTCACTGAAGATGCAAAGAACAGCACGATCCACGTCAAGCAGAACCGATTCCTTCGCACTGCAGATGTCAAGCCTGAGGAGGACAAGACTCTTTTCCCGGTCTTCCTTGGTCTGCGCACCAAGAACGGTATTGACGAGAGCCTTACTCTCAACAAGCGCGAGGACGACTTTAAGGTGCCGGACCTGGATTTCTTTAAGCTGAACGCCGATCACTCTGGTATCTATCGTACTTTGTACGCTGCTGAGCGGTTACAGAAGCTGGGACAGAATGCCAAGGCTGGTCTGCTTAGTGTAGAGGATCGTGCCGGTATGATTGCGGACGCTGGTGCGCTGTCGGCTGCTGGCTACCAAAAGACGGACGGTCTGCTATCGCTCCTCAAGAGCTTCGATACCGAGCCTGACTTTGTTGTCTGGGATGAGATCACTGCCAGAGTTGGCGCTGTCCGCGCGGCATGGACGTTCGAAGACAACAAGATCAAGGACGCTCTCAAGGCCTTCCAACGCGACCTCGTCAGCCACAAGTCTCACCAAGTAGGATGGGAATTCAGCGACAAGGACGGTCACATTGAGCAGCAGTTCAAGGCCCTCCTCTTCGGCACTGCAGCATCTGCGGGCGATGAGAAGACCAAGAAGGCAGCTTTCGAAATGTTCGAGAAGTTCGTCTCAGGCGACCGCGCCGCCCTACATCCCAACCTCCGAGGCAGCGTCTACGCCGTTGTCTTGCAATACGGCGGTAAGAAAGAATACGACGCCCTCGTCAAAGAATACGAGACCGCCAACTCCAGCGACGAACGCAACGCGGCCCTGCGCTCCCTCGGCCGCGCCCGCGACCCTGAACTCATCCAACGCACCCTCGCCTACTCCCTCAACAAGCACGTCAAAGAACAAGACATCTACCTGCCCCTCGCCGGCCTGCGCGCCCACCGCGAAGGCATCGAGGCGTTCTGGGCGTGGATGAAGGAGAACTGGGACACGCTCAAGCAGAAGATGCCGCCGAGCTTCACGCTGTTGGGCAGTGTGGTGAGCATGGCGACGAGCAGCTTCACCAAGGAGAAGCAGTTGAAGGATGTGGAGGCGTTCTTTGAGGGGAAGAGCACCAAGGGCTTCGATCGGAATCTGGCGCAGAGTTTTGATGCGGTGAGGGCGAAGATTGGGTGGTTGGAGCGTGATGCGGGGGATGTGGAGAGGTGGTTGAGGGAGGAGAAGTACCTTTAGAAGGGAATGGGAAGGTTTAAGAGGTGTTTGGGACGAGGAAAAGCTGGGTCGTGGATGCTTGTGATGGCGCCATCATAGATAGCCGCAAGTCGCTAGAGAATTATCAACATGCAAGGACCGCAACTTCGAACATGTCTGCGTCCAGGGGCATTGTAGCTAAGTCTTATAACCGATGAACTACAACGCCAATCTACTCCGCGTTCACATCTTTTAAATCCACATTGAGCACAGATTTGTTGATTATCCACAGGAAGAGCCCCACGTCAGCCACAATTAAAGCACGGAAGCCCACGGCAGTGGCTAGCCAGCCACAGCTTTGCTCACGGTGGGACTCGCGAACCTCACTTGCTTCCTTACTGCACCGTCACATCAAACAACATCAAACTTCTCCACGCCACCCCATCGATATGCACCGAGAACACTCTTTCGACTGCTTGCTCGGATCATGATAAAGCCCACATAGGATTGAAAAGCAATAGAGAAGAAAGAGGCCACCAGTGACTACCCCAAAGTTCCAGAACTGCTGGACATGCGCAAACCGAACCCCATCAACAATAGCCGCCATCCCAACACCTCGTCTCCGAGATGGGCAGACAGCAATATCTAACTCGACTCGCTCTCGGGCGCTCCGCGTTCGAACCCATCGAAGAAACGCAGCAACCAACACAGCAGCCCCAAACCCCCGAAGATGGACGCCCCCAACAGCAATACGACTCCAAAGGCCGCCCCACCAACCCGCGGATCGACGCCTTCAACGCCGAAATGCGCAAAGCGCAAAACGACGTCCTCGCTCTAGTGGGCGTCGTCGAGCGGAAGGACTTATCCGACCGGCGGGAGGAGCAGAGGGGGCGGTTCGTGCGGGACACGAGGGAGAAGGTGTTGCGAGATGAGCAGGAGAAGGGGGAGTTGATGGATTACACGGTGGCGGGGATGGGGTTTCTGGGGCATCTCTGGACGGAGGCTTTGGTGCAGAGGGTGCAGGTTGGGGTTTATGGGGCTGAGAGGGGGATTGGGGAGATTGTGGTGGCGGAGTGGAGAGGGTTGTTTTCGGATGGGGGGTTGAGGAGGGGGCTGGCGGGGTTGTTTCCGGGTTTGGGGGATATTGTCATGCATACGCTTGTGCGACTCCCGCTCATCGTCGCCGTGGAGCAGTTGACTGGACGCATCCAGAACTACGTCCAGAAGCGCCGCTTCAAGCGCCGGACGACCAAGAGGCTCTACACGGCCATCTCCATCCTCTTCGAACTCGTCCTCCTGGGAATCGACATGGCGCTCCTCCCCATGGAATTCCACGCTCGCGCACAAAAGCTCGGCCTCGCACCCCTTCTCCCTCTCTTCCCCTCCTGGAAATGCTTCCTCCCATGGCACGCCGCCTCCTTCCACCAATTCGGCTGGAAACCGCTCTTCGGCGTGATCTTCGTCAGATCCCTCACCACCCCGGGGGTGCTCCTCCTTCTCTACAAAGTCTTCCACTGGGACGCGGACGAGAGCGAAATCCCCATCGCAGCCCTCTTCTCCACTTTCCGCTACCCACCCATCGACACTGATCCCAGCCTCATTCCCACCCCCACCGACCCCATCGGCTGGCTCACGCACAACATGTGGTCTCTCCGCTCAAAATTCATGGAATGGTGCGGATGGGATATGCACCAACTCACCTCTCGACCGGGCCATCACGGGGAGGAAATTCTGGAAAACAACACCCGACAGCGCGATGGGACGCTGCACCGGTCTACCGCATTAGCCCATCTCCCCGCCCAGCGACTCGCGGGGAGTATCGACAGTTTCCTCGCGAGGTGTATAACCCTCCCTTTCGAAAGCCTCATGCTGCGCTCCGTCGCGCACGCCTTCTTGAGCTATACCCCAACGCCAGCAGCGATCGAGGCAGCGCCGCATATATACGCTCCGTTCACCGGCGGTCCGATTTCGCAGGTCTTACGCAGTCCCACGGATCGTCTAGCGTGGAGTTCAGCGGGTGTGTATGCCAGTCGCTTAGGTCTCGCGCTAGCACTGGACGTTTCCGTGGATGTTCTGCTCTTCTTCGGGGTGTATGCTTCGACGAGGTATGTGGGGAGGAGGTGGTATGATTGGAGGCCGCGACGGAGGGCGAAAGACGATGAGGGCGTGGGCGAGAGGAGGGAGATTGGAGATTAATGAAGTGAGGGTTAAACCGCATTTGCGAGAAAGTGTCCGAACCTTTTGGAGAGATGGAAGACCTCGCAGTACGAAGACACAAGGTTGCGACATGAGTGATTCATCAGATGGCATTCGCGTCTACTTCATCGAACAGAGGGACGTATCGACATCCATCCATCCATCCATCCTGTATCTACCGACTCATGCACAGACCAAGATACAAGTCATAGCAAGCATAGGGTGCAGTGCACATCGCTATCAAAACCAAAAACAACCCCCTTCACAAACCACAAACCCACTCGCTCCCACGCTATGCCTTCCCTCATCCATCAAACCCCAGCGGCGGCAGCTGCAGTCGCCTCACCTGAATTCCACTCCTAGTCGAAATCCATCGGCTTGTCCTCCAGCTGCACGCCCTTGCTCTCAGGCTCCACCTCCGCGCTGTCGTGCTTGCTACTGACGAGACTCTGCCTGCTCAAGCCGCCGGTCCCCCGACGGCCGTATGCGCCTCGCCGGCTGAGACTGTCCTGCTTCGTTGGCGTGCTCTCCGTCGGGGTGGCTTCGACAGGCGATGCGACCTCTTCTTGGTTCACGATGCGGTATTTCGAGGCGGGCGGTTGGATGCTTGGGTTCGAAGTTGGCGCCGCGCTGCCGTTTGGTGCGCCGGGTGTGGAGTCGATGCTGCTGCTGTAGTAGTGATTGGTGTGGCCAAAGTCGGACGGGGAGTTGATCGAGGCAGACATCCTTGGTGCGCCGGATTGGCGTTTCGATGATTCTGAGGAGTCGTCGGTCGGTGGTGGCTGGTGGAACATGCCATTTGGTCGGTCAGGGCTTGAAGTGTCATGCGAGGCAGGTGCCTTTCCTCCAGGTGGACTCTGCGGAACGCTTAGGCTGTCACGGTGACTCGATGTGCTGGACTGCGTTGGCGACATGACCCTCCTGTCAGGTGTGTTCTGTGCCGCTGTGGTATTGACCGGGAACCTCGTCTCAGGACCTCTACTACGATCCCTGCGGTGACCAGGCAGTGGAACTCTGCTGCCAGGATCTGGGCTTGGATTTCGGCTCCTCGTGCCACCTGCTTGCGCTTGCTGAGCTGCCGCAATGGCTCGTTGTCGCTCTTCCATATGCTCTTTCCGTCGTGATTCGTCAGTGCTGATAGCACGGGTGTTGCGCGTGGAACCTGAGTTGGTGTGAGTGAGAGCAGATTGTCTCTTGAGCTCGCCGAAGATCGCATCCTTGTGGGCGAAGAGATCCCGTAGCAATCGCACGTTGTACTTCTCATTCATACTAAGGCCAGTTTCCTGCTTCGGTCGCATGATGCATGGCGCAAGAGCGGTGCAAAGGCCTTGGATGTATGCATCGTCGGCGCTAGTGAGCTCAATCAGGCGGGTGAAATGGGTGACCAAGGCATCCAGAGTGGCAATGTTCGCAAGTCGCAGTTGTCCGAGCGTCGATTGGATGACCTGTATTCTGGTGCTCTCGGAAGCAGATTGTGCAGTGCTTGTGTAGATCGTCTTGATGATTTCGTAAACATGCGAGCTCACCAGACTGTCCGGAAGTTCAAGCAGATACAGCTTCAGTACCGACGCCACAATCGGCACTTCGTACTTCTCCAGTAGCTCCTGTGGGACGATCTTGCCAGTATTGATTTGATTCCGGAGATGATGCGTAGCAGCCAAGGGAACCTCGACTAGCCAGATACTGCGGCGTGCTTCGTCACCCTCAAGATCTGGATAATGAGAGTCGAGGAATGTCAGAATAGTCGTAATGATAAGCGGTACTCGCTTCCGGTCGCTTCGTGCTCTCGCCTCGATATCAACACCAAAGGTCTGCTCGTCGTTATTGTTGTAGTAGTTCTCGTAGACTGTTACCTTGGGAAGGAAGTTGCCAGTCATGTAGTTTTCCAGCATGTATCGCAAGTCTCCCTGTGGCTGGACAGTCTCCTGGAACAACATCATGTTGTCAACGGTGGACTGTAATGATGGGATGACGTTGCTGATCGCGCCGCTGAAGTCCAGAATGACGGCCTTGATGGCTTTTAGGCGGTCAAGTTCGCAGCGCTCCATGAATTTCATGTGCTCAATCATGGCCTCCTCCAGAGCGCACCGTAGACTGTCCAGTTTCTTGACAGCCACCTTGTAACGGTCGTCCGCCTCTCGGGCCTCTCGCCTCAACTTCTCAGCTGGGGTCTCGTTCGGGTGGGCGTTGTTTAGTGGGTTCCAACCTCCAAGGTATTCACTGACTCGGTCGCCGATCACTGGACTGCCAGGAATGGAATCATTGGACCCAGTAGACATGATGGTGGAGGTGCGGTTGAGCAGATTGGGTCTCTTCTCCGGAATCCCAGTGATCTGAAACACCTTGGGCCGCCATTGATAGTACAACCGGCTGCTGTTCGCGAAAGTGTTGCCCATATTTCCAATTAATCGCAGAAAGCCGTGGGTGATCATGTCCTGTCCGACCTTCTCTGCATATGCAACACTGCTGGCATTCAAATGCTTCTGGATGTACTCCACGATTTCCGCGCCAGTGCTCACATTCTGATACGTGCCTAGGATGGGAACTTTGGTCTCTCCGAGCTTGATGTTGTCCAGGGCATGCGTGAGGATCTTCTTGACCTGCTCGGGCGTGTATGTCTCGTCCCCAATCTCAATAGGCTCAGGCTCAAGCTCTTCCTCGACCTTGATGCTAGGCACACTTTGTGGAGCAGGCTTAGGGGATCCAGTGGTAGCAGAGCTGGGATCCTGGAAAGCCAGCTTCTCCTCCTCATCCAGATCCTCCACTCTCCTGCACTTGTTGTAGTATGCGCTTCGGTATTGCCGTACTGTCTCTGCCTGCCTGTCATGTGCCTTGATCCGACCCTGCAAATCATCCTGGCTGTTCTGTACTCGCGCAGCATGTTGATCGCACCAGCGACTGAAGGGATTGATCACTAGTTCTCGGATGTTGGAAGCGATCTTTCGGTGATTTCGCGAAGCCTCGCCCATTTCAGCGCGCACACCTTCGTATGCCTATGACCGTTAGCACATCCTTCCCATTACTTGCGATTGTGTATCCTGACCTTCTTGAGACTAGCCCCATCATCTCTCTGAAAGCCCCCGTCTATCCTGTTCGTAGCATTCTCTATATCCCCAAGCTTCTGCCCATACATATCCTCCGCCTCAGCGCGCATCCGCGCAATCGTAAGGATCTGCTCATTCTCTTGCACACCCTGCTGGAGCTTCTGGAAGAGGACGCCGAGACCTAGATCGTGTCAGTAGTTGAACATGACCCTCCTGCCAACTTTCGGGCGACAAACCTCCTGCATAGTCCGAAGACCAGAACGACGTCGCAAAGGAGCTCATGCCGGGCCCTCGCACCGATTATACCAGACCAAACTTGCGCCTGCGCGGGAGGTGTGGACCAACAATGGCACTGATGTGCGGGCGAATCAGGCTGAACGAGTGTGTCGAAGGGTTGTGTTTCGATGCGCCGGAGCCAGTCGCGGGATCAGGCGACCCGCATAATAGACACAAAAGGGTGGTTGTTCGGTCGGGACGTAAATAGGGCAAAGAAGTGGTTCGTACAAAGACTTGAAGGTCGGGGAGGGCGGGTCACGGGTTCAGGAGTCAGGTCGGTTTTGGTAGGAGCAAGGTTGTTGGCTGCCAGGAACTTCTGGAGACGCTGCCGCCGCTGCTCTTGTTGGACAGGGATCTCAGCCGCAGCGCGTGTTCAGAGTGTGGCGTTGTTTGACCAACAATTCGACGTCAATTTCGTTCAATCAAAGGGAGATGAGGGCGATATTTCGGATTTGGGCCAGGACAACAGCACGCGACGATTGAAACTTGAAAGCGATGGACGAGTGGAGTAAGCGACGTTGCACTGCGCCAAAGTGTGGCGCTGCCAAACGAGCCAAGCAGCTCGTGAAAGTGATAGTTCATGCCTGAGGCATCAACGACCGTCAACGTTCAACGCAGGTGCCATTGGCTCGAGCAACATCACCTCATCCAGACATCAACCTCAACGTAAGATACAAAGACAAAGACGACGTTGCAGCCACCGAAGAGATGGCGCCAAAGAAGTCCAAGCCCGCAATGACAAAGACCGCACCTCAAATCGAGAGCGACAGCGACGAGCCAACTCAAAGCCAAGAAGCATCCCAATCACAATCGCAGGAGTTCGATGCCAAAGCCATCGAAGCCGTCGTGCAGAAGCAGAACGAGCAGGTATGCTTCCCCAATCTCTTCCCCAAAGCCATACCAAGCTAACGCCATCCCCAGAGCCGAGCCCGCAAAGCCCAGCGAGCCAAAGAGATCGAAGCCACCAAGAAACAACGCATCGACAAGATCCAGCGAAAGATGACCGACCTCAAGAAGGCCCATGAGCAGGAGCTGTGAGTCGTACACTCACCTCACTCGCCATCACAACTGACTCTGATCATCACCAGCCGAACAATTCAAGCCCCCAAAATCGCCCGTCTGCGCGACCTCATCCAAAAGCGCCGCGACATCGACAACAAGATCGCTGCTTGCTGGGGCCATATCGACCAGGCGTACGAGTCGACGACCCAGCAGTACCAGTTCGCATTAGGAGGTCGACTGGAGGACTTGGGTTGAAGAAAGCAGCAAGCACTTCGGACCTTTAGCCAGAAGCTGAAGTCGAAACAACCCACCTCGTTCTCGGGCAGTATGACCGTCTCCGCTCCGCCCCAAGCAGCAAGCAGCAAGCTCAAACTTCAAACCTAAGCATACCGCGTGCTAGGTGACGAAGCCGCGTACCGGACGGGATCTGAAGAAGAAGGTTTCTTGGAGGACTTGAGGCATCTTGGTAGCCGAACGACTCGCTCACGCCGCCACGACAAGACGAACCACGACATTGGAGGCATGTCACCATCATCGACGGCCATCCCATTCGTCCGTTCGCTCACAGCATACCATCTTCAGCGATAGCTCTGAAGTCTTTTTCTCCATTGCGCTATTTGCAAGAACCTCTTTTGAACACAGCGTGGTCTGTAATTCAAATCTTCGATCGAAGCTCCCTCCTTCGACAATGTTTTTGTCCGCTCGGTCGTGCTAGTTTTTTCTTAATACCGTGTCTTGACAAATACGAGCATACCCGAAGGCAAGCAAGCAAGCAAGCAAGCAAGCAAAGCGGTAAATGACGGTGAAGCAAAGTCCAAGGCACTTCGGTAGGCCAACCACAAACAGCCGTGAAAGAAAAAGAACGAGACACGAAGGAACTAGACCCTCGTCAATGCTAGAACGAATAGCTTCTAGTAGCAGAGACGCCGCAAAAGACTCCGCAACCTGCATGCAGGCATGAAAGCGGAAAGCCCTCCTAAGGGTCCAATCGTGCAGGGCCCCCAACTATGCAGCAACGGCAGAGCAGATTTAAAAATCTTACCGCGTCTACTTTGACGCCACAGGGTGTTCACCTTGCATGGGGGCTAGAAGTCCGTGTCCTATTGCAGTATAGCCCCCCTTCCAAGTCTACGCCTGGTTTTCCAAGTCTCTGGGCTGCGTTTATGCGTGCTGGAAGTTACGTCTATCACTCTGTAAGGTATCTTTTTTGACAATAGTGTGCTTCACTGCCAAGATTTCCCGCCCTCCTGCCCCCACGCTCACGCCATTCAATTCTTCAATTCTTCCGTTACACAACATGAAAGCTCACGTCTAGAACCCCCAAAGCCAAAACCCGCACATCAGAAATTCTGTGGTTCGTCTTGTATCTCCCGGGTTCTCGGTCCCTCCAGCCCGGGCGCTTGCATTCTGGAACCATATCTTCCGGTGCGAAGTCCGTTCGTCATCTTTTCCTTTTCCGGGAATTGAACAGCTGTGGCATGTAAATTGTAGATGAAGAAAGGGATGAAGATGATGATGAGATCGTCAAATTGATCCGTGGTATGAAACAAGAGATCGTCAGATCTTGTGACACGTGCGATGTGCCGCTTGTCAAGATCGGCAAGTGCATTAAATGGTTCAGGTAAATTGTCAGTCCCAGTAGTCTTTCGAGGGGATATGAGATGATAGATCGGTAAGTGGATAGGGATAGTGGCCTGCACGTACATTTTTGATGGTAGTTGATATTAAGGAGCGGATTAGAAGGGAAAGAGCAGAAACCAACAAAGACGAGAACAGCACACACCCGCGCATACATTACCTTCTTCTCCCTTCCTTGACGGTAACACGCGTCTCAGTCGATGCAGTTCAAGCACCGTAGACAGACCGTCTCGTCCCATGCGCGGTGATGATGATGCGCTGCTGCAGCGACTTTTTCTGCGAAACCCCCCATCGCTATGCAGTGCAAGTGACGACTCCTCGCAAATGCTCCTTTCCCAGATGCCTCCTTCTTGCACTATGCTGGTCCTCCTCTTGATGCAAGTATTTCCAAATCATCGAAATGGCATGCCAGTCCCCGGCGGCGCGTTCCCTGGGGGTGGGCCACCTGGGCCGCTGGCAGAAGGTGATGGTGATGGGCGGTGAAACATCTGAACCAGTCTTCTGCCCACGCTCGGCTCCAGTTCCGTACCGTCGCGCGCGATCTTCACTTCGCGGTTAGCGTTCCAGGGATTGCGCAGGCCTCGAGTGCGGTAGAAGGGCAGTCTGTTGGTAGACACCCATTCGATTTGGAATTGCTTGCCCCAGTTCTGTCCCGTGCCGTCTTTCTCAGGAGCGCCCTCCTCGTCTTCAGAATGGTCGGCCTCCCAGAAGATCGTCCCACGCGCCGAGTCGTCGATAATGCGACCCTTGGGTGCTGTCGCTGTCGCTGGAGTTGGAATTGATTGTGGTGAGCCTGCTGGGTCGGTCGCGGCTTCCTGAGCTGAAGGAAAGGTGCTGGACAGGTCGACTGCTTCACCCGAGATTGTCGATGCCATTCGAGCATAGCCAAAGTATTCTCCCGACTTGTTGGCCGAGAAGATGAGATACACGTTGTCGGCTTGGGAGTAGGCGCGGTTGAGCGCGTCTTCGTTGTGGGATTGCGTCGCCCAGATTCCATTCCGTACGCTCGCTTCAAGATCTTGCGCAGTGAGAGACTTCACGATGAAGTACTTCTCTGGCACCTTCTCGTCTGACGCTGGTGGTGCTCCCGGCGAGTTTCCTGACTTGTTTGACACGTCGCTTTGGTGAGACTGACTTCGTGCAATGGTCGGGCTTAGTGCATCTTCATCCTTCTCAATGGTCGCAGTCGCCGGTTCTGGTGGTGATTCTGCTTCTTCTGCTGTTGGCGTCGCAGCAGCACTTGACGCTGTACCTCTTCGAAGTCGACAAACCAGACGGACACCATGGAATCTCGAATCGTGGAATCGGTTCATCGCAGCAACGCAAGCTGCTTCGGTGCGGTAGTTGACGAACGCACAGTTGCTCTTCGCGATCAAGAACACGCTTTCAATGTCTGTAGTTGCATCCCTCGAGAAGTGGTCCTTCAAGTCGGTGACAAGTGCCTGAGGCGGCAGATTTCCAACCCACAGTGCGTGTCCTGATTGCTTTGGCTTGCGCGGCGGTCCTCGAGGGAAGCTGGGAATCGGTGCAGTGTCTGCTGATCCGCGTCGTGCAAACTGTGCTATAGCAAGTGTTAGTACGCATCAGCTGGTAAGTATGAATCATTCTTCTGCCATACCAATGTCTGTAGGGAGTCCAGCGGGCAGCACAAACGATCCAGGTGGGCCAAATCGTGGATCAATCGGTGAGTACTGGGCGGGGTTGATGCCAAACGCATATGGATCGACTGGTGAGAATGGCACTTGCTGCTGCATGGGAAAGTTCTGTCGCTGCATGTTCTGGATCGGACTAGGCGCTCCATACTGCGCGCTCATGAACTGCTGTTGCTGCGCTCTCGCCAACATGGTGGGGTCGGCGAAGCGTGGACCACCTGGTTGAGTTGGAGGAAACATCGTCGGCTGTTGATATGGGTTAGGTGAAGCGACGCCTTGAGATGGATCCGGGCTGGCGTAGGGACGAGTGGGCATCTGAGGTTGACCTGGCAAGGCGCCGGCCATCGACCCCATATCGAAGGGCTGCTGGCCATATTGAGGGACGTTTGGGGGTAGTTGCTGTTGCTGGGAGAGGTACTCTAGCTGAGATTGAAACGGTGCGCTACCGCAAGTCAGCGAGCCGTGTCTCAAGTCGGCCACGGGGTGGGACGTTGGCAACGGGTTGACGTACCTGTCCGGCTGGCGAGGCTGCGGTGGTTGCGGTTGCGGTTGCTGGGCGGCGGCGGTGGCACGGGCAGCGGCAGCCTCAGGCGGCTGCGTGGCATTGGGATCAGGACCACTCATGTTACCGACGGGACATTGGGAAAGTGTGATGGAGGTCCGGGCAGGTGATGTGCAGGATGACTTAAGAGGGAAGGCACCAGGTGAAGTGACGACGGACGGAGACGCAAATCAGCAAGCTGTCGTGTGACGGCCCAATGAGCGGGCCAGACCAGAGGGAAAAGGACGACGGGTCCCAGGCATGGCAGCGGCAGATCTAGGCGGGCGAGCAGTGCCAGGGCAGGGCAGGGCAGGGCGGAAGGGAAGGGTGGGTTAATTGATGGGTGGATGGATTCCGGCGATGCAGCCGGCGGGCGAGTTCGAGGGCGTAGCGTAGCAGCCGCTGGGCCAGGACGGCTACAGTGCTAGGACGAGCGACTAGAGGAGCACAGCTATTCTGGACGAGTCTGGCGATGGGCAAGGGCTGCGGCGGGTTGGGCAGAACCAGCAGGCACGAAGGCATGTGGCAGCGGCGGCGCCACTGTGTAATGCATGGCGATGGTGAGCCGAGCGGATGCGCCAGCGCCCACTACGACGACGACCGACGTCTGGCTGCACGTCGCTGGCGCAGATCGACGGTAGCAGACAGCCGCTCGTCTGCCAAATGCTGGTCTGGCGAGTGTGATCTTGCTGGCGTACCTAGGTCCAAGCCGACGCAGGGGCACAAAGTTTGAGGGCCAGAGGCGCTCTCGGAGGAATTCACCCTCACGCCCACTTGTCCCATGCCTGCCAGACGTGAGCCGCTCTACGCTGGTCGACATTGGCTGCGGCGCCTGATCCGTCGCCACCTGGAGCCGTCTCGTTACACGACACGCTGGGCCTGATGTGCTTGTCTGCCCGTCTGCCTGTCCCCATTGATTGTGCGCGGCGTGTGCCTGCTTCGCCACCGCTCTAGACGCCCACGACAAGACCAGCAATGCCGGCCACGACACGAGAAAACGAGCAAGCAAGAGGCGCAGTGAACAGAGTGTTCCCAGTTGCAACCGCGAGGGGTGCAGGGTTAGAATTGAAGGTGTGGCGCGGGAGAGGGCTAGCTCGCTCGAACAACCACGTCCAGCTGCCCAATGGTGCCATCTCCTCGAGCTACTATACTTCGGGGTCCGCGAGAGAGGAGAACAGCAAGCCCAAGATTACGTACCGCGACCCTCGCAGTGATGAACATCGCGCTGCCACCGTCCTCGCTTCGCTGCGAGCAGACAACGTGGCTTGTGCCGCCAGGTCGGGAGGCTGCTGTTGTCTCGCCCGGGCGAGAAGCGTCGGCAGTTATATTGGGACAGCGCTCTGGATTGGCCGCGCGCCCGGCCTGTGTCGCTCTCTTATGCACCCTCCCGGCGCAGCAGGCCTCGGCGACTCCCGCTGCACAACCGTCCTATACCGTTCTATCACTCATCTCAATAATTGATGATGCCTCTGCGACTGCTCGTTCGGGCGGCGTCGACATGGCGCCAGGTGTCGTTGGGCGGATCTAGCTCCGACACCGGGCAGCGAGGCAGCTTTGGGTGAGTTTCAGGGTGCGCGAATCCAGTCATCGTCGCTGTCGATCGCTGTGGCGTTGCTAGCCGCACCGTCCATCGAGAATCCCGATAGGGCTGCTCGGCCACACTTGCGCGCCTGCTACATACTGTACATCCAACAGCGTGCATACATAGCGAGACGGCCCGATTAGCCCTCCAGCTTCACCACTCACATCTCTCCCTCCAGCTCTATGCAATACGAGCTCGACAGCGGCCGTCATGGCGACCACTCTTCCATCACACGCCACCTGCGAAACGCCGCCTGCCACGTGCCGCCAAAGCCCACCGTTCTCCAGCCGACGTGGGGACCGCAAACTCAATCTCGATCACATGCGCGCAGATCTGCCTGCACCGCCATAACTCGGTCCAAGGGCAAGAGCAGACGTAAAGCAAATACCTGCAGTCTCCGAACACGACGAGCCACGGCCACGGCCATATCCATCCTCGCTCGCTCGCTTGCTGCCGGCATCCTACGACGCACCTCTATGATGATTGACCTCACCATTTTCTGCCACGAATTCGCTCCGGTCTGACTGACGGGCACTGACAAACACAGCATCTCCCGTTCGCGGCGCGCCTCGGTAACAACAGGGTCGATCACCTCACCCATTTTTCTTCCCCTGCCTCTAAGCGACGGGCCACAGGACGCGCAACGCCGGGAAACAGCAGTCAACTCCATGTCGCCATACGATCGACGATGATCAACAGTGCTTATGTGACGACGGCCTGCGCCATTAGCACCTCTACCAACAGCTTGACCGCTCCCCCCGAACTTCATCATTCGCTCCTTCACGTCTGAATGCATACCCCATCCGGCAGGCACGACCTCTTCCTGTCCCAATACTGCAAGAGCTCCGTGTTCTTATACAGAATCTACTCTAGTACGGGATCCCGTTGGTGAGCAGCTGGTAGTAGTCATACACGCCGGTCGAGTAGCTCCGCTCGCTCCAATGCACCAACTTCCGCACAAAATCCGCCGCTTCTCTGTCCGACTTCTCCAGCACGAACCGCTCCTTGAAGTGCTGGATCGTCGTCGGCTTGAAGCATGGCAGGCCTGAATCCAACATCGTCAGCACTATGTGCGCCAGCTGCTCCACATATTGCCGCGACGCCAGGAACGCTTTGATGCAAAGCTCTTCAAACGCTTTGAAGGGCTGCGACTGACTCGACCCGCCCATGACGGCCACCATCTCCGGCGTGAGCTTGAACGGAGCTCGCTCAAACTTGACACCGCCCGGTGCAATGTCGAAGCAGAAACCGAAGTCGATGTGCAGGATGTGACCGGCGTCGTCGACCATGATGTTGCCGTTGTGTCTGTCCTTGAATTGGAGCAGGTACGAGATGATCGAATACGCCGCCATGCTCTTGATGAAGTTGCTGCGAGCTTCCTGGAACCGGATCGAGTCCTCATACCCATACTTGGATACGAAATACTCATACAGCCCATTGACAGCTTCACGGCCCAGCATGTCTCGAGAGATGGAGTTTGGCAGCACATCGATGACACCACAACCTGGTGCCGTGGCAGTCACCCGGTATGGGAAGACGTACACATCCAGCCCGACGTTGTTGAAGATCCCACGGAAAGCCGCAATCAGCTGCAAGGCGAGGATATCCTGCCGACAATCGTCTCCCACCTTGAAGATGGCCGACTGCCAGATCTCATACGACCTCTTTTTGGCCGCGTTGCCTCGAACAAGCTGTTCTTCCGCATTCTCGCCCTCCTCCTTGCGGATCCTGAAAGTTGCCATGAACGGAGCCTTTGCATGAGACTGCAACGGCTTGCCCGACTTGCGGTCAATCCCAATCACCACTCCATCCGGATTACTGGGCAGATACACACCAGGATCGACCTGGATCTTTCGAAGCTCCTCCTCAATCTTCGCCTTCTTCTCCGGCTTCGGCTTCTTGATGAACGGCTTCAACGTGCCAGAGATGCCCGTGACCTTGCCAAAGAAGTCAAACTCCCTCTCATAGAACTCCTTATCCTCCGGCAGGAAGCTACCGATGAGAGCATCCATCACACGATCCAACACCGGCTTGACAGGATCCGGCTCGGTCGAGTCCTCATCCTTGTACGCATTGGCCTTCATATTCCAGATGATCTGGTGAGCAAAGAGCTGGGAGAAGGTGGCCGTCTCAATGATGTAGCGCTCAACGTATCCCAGAGCATCATACCGCAAGGCTTGGACAATCTGCGGCACGTAGAAGAACGTCACGTCGACCGAGTGGCTTTCCAGTGCGCGGACGGCATACTGCACGATGGACGGGTGGTTTCCGTACGAAGGTAGGAAGTACGTCACGGCGGCCATGGGGTTGATCGGGGCCCAGTAGAGGAGATACTTCAGCTGCGTCTTGACATCCGCAGGCAACTCCGATCCCAGCAGGACATACAGCGCATCCGGCTCCAGGATCGCCTTCTCCGGCCTGTGAAGTAGAAACCTCCTCACTTCACTCGCAATCTTCTGCGACTTCGGGAAGCGCGTGACCAACTGCACCGCAATCCTCGGATCCTCATCCCAGGCCGTCTTGAGGAATCCCGCAATCGCCATCTCCTGTCCAGTCCCTTCATGGTGTCCAGATAGAATACTCCTCGACTCCTGCCCGAGCGGTCCAATCCAAACGGTAAGTCGCCCAATCTCATGACTGATCAAATGAGCCAAAAGTTCCTGCTTCGCCTGCAAGCCCGGCAGCGTCCTCGAACTCCTCGCCCCAATCCCCGCGAGCGCCTTCATCAAATTTGCAACATCGTTCAGCAGCTTCACCTCCGCTTTCACCTGCAATCGATTGCTCCCATACGACCACTTGGGCGGCGTCGCAAACCAGCTCAACCCGGCGGACAAAATCGCATCTTTGAACCTCCACTGCGCGGCGCCGTCTAACCTGACCGAGAACCGCAGGACTTTCAGCGCGAGCAGCAGGATGTGGAAATGTACCTCCCGGGCCAACGGCTGCGGGACGGTTTTCTTCATCGCCAGCAACGTCACCCTCATGAGTCGGGTATACACCCTCTCGACGCTCGGACTCGTCAACCTGCTCGCGGAGAAATGACTGCTGAGGAAATGCGTCAGTCTCAAATGCGGGGCGATCAGATTCCCCGTCGCTTGTTCCCTCTTCTTGATCGCCTCCCAGCTGCTCGGCGCGAACTCCTCCTTGACATAGAAAGGATCCCAGTGGTAAGAATCGCTTTTGAAGAAACCCTTCTTCTGCCGCACGGTCGCTTCCCAACCAGATGCCACTTCGCAGAGAACGCGGGATTCGAGCGATGGCCGTTCTTTCACGACGCCGAGCCAGAGGGAGATTCCTAGATTGATGGACTGTTTCGTGAAGAGCAGGAAGGGAATGGAGACGAGGTCCTGGATGAGGGCGACATCAGCGCCGCGGGAGAGGAGGCCAGCGGCCGTGCGGAGGGTGGTACGGATGGTTTCGAAGGGGATTTGGGAAGGGGAGTCTTTGAGACGCTGGGAGAGGGTACGCAGGGCGTGGAGATGTTCGCGTTCTTCGGAGGTGCGGTCTTCGATGAGCGCGGGCTGGACTTTGCCGCTGTAGTCGACTAGAGCCCATTCTTCATCCGCCGCAGAAGAGGCAAGTCGTCCGTCGAGGTGTCGGTATTCCTGTCGTGTGGTATACTGCGCGATGAAGTCGGACGCCGTATTGACGTTCACGCCCTGACGATCCAGACTCGTAAGTCTCTGATCACTGCTCGGGATGATCGAGCCCAGTTCCACGGCAAAAGACCTTCCAAGTGCGATATGTCCGTACGACCCATCGTCTTCGTAGTCTTCCAGGTAAGCCTGTAGAATCCCTTTCACATCCAACGGCGCAACCTCAATCGCCCTCGCGACCCAAGATCGACAGCGTTGATGGAACGACGCAAGCGTCTGCTGTCGGAACTTGACATCATCTGAGAGTTGCACCGAGACGTTCCCCTTTGATGAACTGTAATGCGATTTCCACGCATACTCGTCCGTCTCGGTATCCAGACAAGCCTTCCACATGAGCGTCAACAACTCCAACAAGGCGAAGATCGAAGCCGTCTGTGCGAGAGCAGAGGGGATCGCGGCGATGATCCGATCACATGCTAGTGTTGCTGCGTTCTGGACTTTAGCGATGCGGTGGCAGCAGCCTTCGAAGAGGGTGGCGAGTTGGATGGCGATCTGTGGGGCGGCGAAGTCCTGTCGTTTGCCGGAGAGGCATCGTTGAAGGTAGGCGTCGACGCTATGGCTGGCGACGGCGAGGATACAATTCCCCAGACCGGTGGTCTTGACTTTGTTCTCGAGGAAATAGGGAAGGACGGCTGTGCAGTCGCCGCCTCGAGCGCGGAGGGTGGAGACGAGGAGGGAGGCGTTGAGGAAGTTGCATTCGGTGTAGCTGAGGCTTTTGATGTCGGATTCGCATTGTGGGAGGGCGGCAATGAGGGATTGCTTTTGGCTGACGAGGTTTTGGGGACCTGAGCCGCGACGGAGGACGGGGTTGAGGTCGATGCTGCTTTCGGGCATGTCGACGCGGGCTTCGTCGATGAGTGGGAGGCTGTACAGTGCGAGGGTCTGCAGATCTTCGAGATGTTCCTTCGCGGCATTTGAATTGAGCGTGAAGCCGTGGACGACGATGTTGAACCATGTGTCCCGTCCTAGGCTTCGGAGTTCTTCTTCGTCTTGGATAGCGGGTAGATTCTCGTTGTCAGTGGACGCCAGCACTGCCATCGGCCGGAAGAGCTGAGATATGGTTTTGGATGCCAGTGCTACATCAACCGTTCGATCTCCCGCAGTGTCGCCGCTGGCCACGCAAAGACCAAGCAAATGCGTGAGGTAGAGTTCATAGAATGGCGAGTCTTTCTTGATCCAGCTGGCAAGGCGAATTCGTGCTTCGTTGACGGCGGATATGAGCAGGGTGTTATTCTGCACGAGCGCATCGCCACCGACACGAGCGTAGAGTCTCAGAAGCGTCTTGAGCTCATTCACACCACCACAGAGACCCAAAGCCGAGATCTCGATAATAACTCTGGCGTCCACGAATGGGTTGATCCTGCCGATTTTCTGAACCAGCATGGAGATAACCAGGGCCGTGAGCTGGACTTCGCTACGTGCAATAGCAATGGCGACAATCGCTTGTACTGTAGCCCCGTACACCGATGCGGTCTGTTCCTCATCGCTGTCGCTTATTACGAGAGAGATGGCGCTGCCGAAAGGCTGTTGAGACGAGAAGTTGTCGCTCGGCTGATTGGCGTTTAGTACACCATCAAAGAGAGGTGACTTGCTGTTCGACTCGTTGGTGGAAGTGGTACTAAGCACATTCCCAAGGTTGTAAAGCGTGCTGATAACAACGTCTTGAGGGCAGTTCTTCAGGATCCTAGCAAGACACTCGCTGGCCACGGCGGCGGTTGGTGCTGTCATCTTGCCCTGGACGATGAGACGTGGGAAGGATCTCGTAAGATCTGAAGCGATCGCTGCAGAGACGTTGGCGAGGATGGCAGATGACTTCAATACGGTCCGCGCGAGGTCTTCATCAACCATTTGGGTAGGGTCGGCGCTCACAGCGTCCAGCCATTCTTTCAAGACATCCGCGTGCAGCACTTCGGCGTTGGGGCCTCCACCATCCAGAATGCAGCAGCATAGAAAGCTTCGCAAAGCGCTAGACTTGACCTCTCGTGCCAGTCGTTGCTGCCAGGGTGCTCCAAGTTTGAGGAAGTCGGCATCAGCTTCCAGATATCTCATCTCGTTCGTGATAGTCTGCGCTAGGACTCCAATCTGGGAGCTGGTAGTGGCATTCTTGGCCCGCAAAGACGTAAGGTTTGGTTGTTGCATCAGGAAATCGAGGAGTTCTGTTCCACGTAGGGGTTCGCGGAGAGGCACCAATGCAAGCACGCTTTCCTCGACCACACTCATGAAAGCCTGCTGCAAGATCATAGCACCCAGTGGATGACCCTGGGCTGCGTAGTGCCGGGTCCATCGTTTCCATTCCTTGACGCTGCGGGAAGTAGTGCTGCTGTTTCTCACTGCGGACAGAGCTCCTTCGAGAGAAACCATGAACTCCTCAGACAGTATCCGGCGCAACTGCGGGATGAGAGCGCTACGCTGTTCCGGCGACCAGACTGCAACATATTTAGCAATGCCATGGAAAAATCCGACAAGGGACACGTTCAACTGAACAGCCTTCAGCGTCTGATCGTCGACCTTGAAATTAGTTTCTCCATTTTCGAGAGGCTTGAGCCAAACAGTCTTTTCAGCGGCGCTGGTCAACTGCTCAATCGTGTTCTCGATGCAGTCCCATGCCTGAGGCCTCAACGACGGATGGTTGAGACCTAGAGCCAAGACCGCAGTTGTCAGATCGTACGCGAGCGTCTCCCATGGTGGAAGATGTTGGTGCAGCGGCGAGGGCGCGAACGCCTGTCGATGGGCTTCGGCGACATATGAAGCCAACTGGTGCAATAGACTCTCCGCATCCTTCGTTGTCTGAACCAAAGGTGCGGCCTTGCACAGTGCTATCAAGACCTCCAGCTCCCTAACGCTCATGGGGACTGAGGACGTATCTCGCTCTTTCGCAGACCCATCGATGGAGCCGTTCGTCGCGTTGCCCACGTATGGTCTCCCCAGCGCGCATAGCCTCTTGATATCGCGATCATCGTCGTTCGTGGCAGCACTCTGCGCGGACAGCTGGGCGAGCTTGTCGAGTGCGTTGCGCCGCGTTGAGCGCGTTGTTCTGTAGATTTCGTTCAGCATGGTCGCATAGACATACAGGTAGTTGATGAGGTGACCCACGGCTGCATGGTATCCAGGCTCTTATGCAGCTTGACTGGAGCGTGCAGGGCGAGCAGGAGTATCCCAGCGAATTGAATCCTCGACTCTTGCACGGGGGAAAGCCGACGTCAGTTGAGATCCCCGTCGCGTGGCTGCGGTGTGGCTGGAGACGGCAAGTGAGCCGAATACGAATCCGACATTGGCGGAAATCTTCAAATCCCATCTGAGCTTCGAAAAAGTTCACGGACACACGACCAGCAGCCATGTCGTCCTTTTTCACCCTCCCCGCCTCGCAAAAGAAGCGGAAGAGGTCGCAGGGTGATGCTGCTCCTCGTGGACAGCAGAAAGGACCTTCGAAATCACGACAAACTCGGGACGAATCGATCTCTGGAAGCGATGAATCCGGCGACGAGGCGCCGACTAGAGGAGAGGACGAGTATGATAGCTCGGTGACTGAAGACGATGAGTTCGCCGGAGAGGATCCAGCTGCGAAGCGTATACGTCTTGCTGAGCAGTATCTCGCCAACACCCAGAAGGAAGTCCTAGATGAGGCGGGTTTCGACGCAAAAGATGTGGATGAAGAGAACCTGCAGCGGCGCATGGGCGAGAGGTTGAAAGAGGACACCGCAGAAACGAAAGGAAAGCTGTACAGATGGATTGCGCAAGAGTTTGACTGGAAGAAGGCGGAGCGAGCTCAATTTCGACACCATCAGAAAGCGGTGACAGGCGTGGCTGTCTCTGGAGAATTCGCGTACACTGGTGGAAGAGATTGCATTCTGGTGAAATGGCGATTACCATCACCTGTGCAAGACCCGACAGCAAAGAAGAGAAGTCGAAAGCCACAGAGGATATTAGTGTCGAAACCGTTTGGCAAGAACACGAACAGTCAGGACCCGGACCACCACACGAAAGCGATTCACTGTGTGGCTGCTTCGCAAGACGGCAAGTTTGTGGCGACAGGGGGTGCGGACAAGAAGCTCATAATCTGGGAGGCTGCAACATTGAAACCTCTCAAGACATTCTTTCAACACCGAGACTCAGTGCTGAGCCTGGCTTTTCGACGAGGCACGAATCAACTCTTCAGTGCCAGCAAGGACAGAACCATCAAGATCTGGTCGCTGGATGAGCTGACATATGTGGAGACTCTGTTCGGTCATCAAGACGAGGTTGTGGATGCAAGTGCATTGGCACAGGAAATTTGCGTCACTGTTGGTGCGAGAGATCGAACGGCAAGGCTGTGGAAGGTGGTCGAGGAGAGCCAGCTCGTATTCCGCGGCGGAGGAGCACCCAAAAGGAACAAATTCCCCAAGTCAGAAGACAGTGGTGTCGATATGGGCGAGGAAGAACCAGCGCACGAAGGCTCCACCGACCGAGTGGCATGCATTGACGATGAGACTTTTGTCACCGGCTCGGACAGTGGCTCCCTATCGCTGTGGAACATCCACAAGAAGAAAGCAGTGCACGTATACCCTCTCGCACATGGAATGGACCCACCTCTACCTCTAGACGAAGTCAGCGCGGAGGAAAATCCTCCTGAAGAAGCGCGAACGAAGCCCCAAGCTCGATGGATCACTGCTTTACGAGCGATACCGTTCTCAGACGTCTTCGTCACGGGTAGTTGGGACGGGCATGTGCGGGCGTGGAAAATCAGCTCCGACAAGAGACAAATCGAACCCCTCGGACCTCTAGGCAGCATCAACCATGCTAGTGGTGATGGAAATGGCGTTCAGATCAGTGTTAATGGCATTGTCAACGACCTCGCCATCATCGACAGGGGAGAACGGGCCAAGGATGGAGTTGTTGTGGTCGCTGCCGTAGGAAAGGAGCACCGCCTTGGGAGATGGAAGGAAGTAAAAGACGGCCAAAACTACGGCGTCCTATTCGAAATCCCTCGCATAACAGCCGCAGATGCTGAAGAAGACGTAAATGGTCAAGAAGAGGAGGAAGAAGACTTCGCCGGTTTCGACTAGAAAACGGAAATTGAGCGGCGTTTGTATCAACGCAGATACCCCTATGCCATCACCACCACCACTCTCTGCCACTCATAAACCACCCCCCTCCTTTCTCGCCACCACACCAACAACACCCCCTAATTCACCCTCGGAAACCTCCCAAACCTCACATTATCATCCTCCAACCCCTTATTCACAATCCACCCCGCCCCATTCTTCATCAAAAACTCCAACCGATGATCCCGATACTCCCTCCGTCGCCCACTATGCGGCGCCCAGAACCCCGGCCCCGCATTCGACATCCCCTGCACACCCCCCTCCATCTCCCGCCACGTCTCCGCGATCGCGGGAACCTCGCCCATCCGCGTGTGCCAGCGGTCCAGCGCGCTGTCTTTCGCGGGACCGAGCCCGCGCAGCACGCTGCGGTGAAAGACGGGCGCGACGCAGATGTCTGCGAGTCCTGGAGCGTCGCCGTTGAAGAAGTCCTTGGAGCCGAGGTGGGGGGTCAGCCATTCGTGGATCTGCTTCGTCTGGTCCGCCGCCGCAGCATTAATCCTCTCAGCCTCCTTGCCTTCCGCCCGTCCAAACCAGAAGACCTCACCCAGAGCCCAGTTAATCGCCTCGTACGCCGTATCGCACATTTCCTCGATCATCCGCGCCACGGCCCTCTCGCGGGGGTCTTTCGGCAATAGACTTGGTGCGTCTGGGAATGCGTCTTCGAGGTACTGCACGATGACGCTGGAGTCGAAGATTTTGAAGTCGGAGTCGATGATCAGGGCGGGGACTTCCATGCGGAGGTTGGCGGACTCGAAGGAGGCGTTGGGTTCGCCCAGGCCGAGGTTTTGGGGGGTTTCTTTTGTGAAGGGGAGGTTTTTTAGGCGGAGGGCCATGCGGACTTTTTGGGCGTAGGAGGAGGCTGGGTGGTCGTAGAGGAAGAGGGAGGGGATGGGGGACGACATGGTTGCTATGCGGTGGGCTTCGTTGTTGGGGTTTGTGTCGATGCCGCGCATTAGGGACTTTCAGGTCTTTCAGCTCTTGGGATGTGGGAGTTGTTGTGTATTGAATGAAGTGTTTGACGTCAATGGAGTGAGGTCGACCTACCTACCTTTATACAGTGGGCGTCCGAGGCTATACCCCACGTATGCTGTCACTGGTGGGAGTCGCTTGCGATGCTACTTACCACTTTCTGACAGGGCCTTGAGAGTCAGAATCAGAATTGTACGAATACAGCAAACGTTGCCGTCGTCTGTCGGTGTTTTCCCACGGCCTTGAGCAAACGCCGTTGCAAGGAAGATGTTTTGGGTGCTTCATGCTTGAATCGGATTGTCGCTTGATAATCTAGAGTAGAGTCATACTTACGCGAGTGCGGTTGTGGATTGTATGGAGCCCGGTGGCTTGTGAGGTCTTCTCGTTCTGGAGATGTCGAGTGCTGTGTTCGGCGAGTGGTAATGCTAACATGCCTCATATCGTAAGAAAGATGTCAGATGGGGAATACAATGAGAGTCCCGACCCTATGTCCAGGCGAGTTCGGGCAGCGCATCTCGATGGAAGTGACACATCTCTTGATATAGATTATGTTAGATGGAATATACTGACACTGATGAACGAGTCTTCCAGGTGAATGTGGTTGATTTGATCGGCTCTTGGAGACAGAGAGATATGGCTCGAGCCATGAATTTCAGTCACTCTTGATTGCAAAGGCTAGGAGTTTCTGGTCCAGACCTGCTTGGGACGGGATCTCGCCGGGGAATATTGTTTTGAAGGGCCTTCTGGAGGCCGAACAATGAAGCAAAAGTTGGTCAAGTCTGTGCCATATTCTCGCCGAAGCTGTCGGTATTTGATGACGAGCCCGATGAAGATTGTCGGGAAGGGCAAGCATTACGCTCTGTAAGATAGCTCGTACAGTGACCAGTGTACATTATTTGCGAGGTTTCGGGCGTGACGACGGTCTCGTGGTGATAATGATGTTGTCGCACACAAAAAGTCGACCCTTCCGCGGGCTTGGGAGACGTCGCTGCGGAAAAGCTGACGCAACAGCGCAACATCCCTGGCCTCAACCAATGCGCCATCACATGCAAAACACCCGCCTCCGCACTCTTCGCCTCATATAGCCATGCTCCATCTGCTACATGTTCCTTCGCGGTGGAGCTTGAACTATACTATGCGCCTAGACAGCGCCCCAGCATGTCGCACGCCTTGAAGCCGCCTGACACCGACCACGAATCCTTGACCGCTGAGGCTGGAGGAGAGCTCGATGATTTGAGGCGCCAGTTTTCGAGGACCCCCCGCCCGTATTTGCTGTCCCACGATGGAGTGGAGAATCGCGAAGATGACGAGCATGCTCGATATGAGCGTCGTACCGGCTCTGGCGATGTGGTATCTGAACAAGGACGAAATCGCGCGAACGAGACCAAAGAAAGGGAACATCGACAGCGAGAGGACTGGCAAAGACACAGCGGACAGTCCTCGATAGCAGCAAGTGAGAGTGGGACAGAGGCCGATGATGAAAGACCAGACTTTATAAAAGCACTGCCTCCAGCGCAAACCCGACCAAGGAAAGGTCTAAAAACCGGAGAACAGAATGAGGATGCGCTTCTCACGCCGAGTCAGCTGGATGAGAAAGAGCAGAGTTACTTCCAACGACAGTCCACAGACAAGGACAGAAAAGCGTCAACACAAGAAGAGGAGGCTCGAAAGGAGCGTGAGGCATTGAACAAGCGAAGAGTGGGCGAATTCGTGAGGAGATTGAGTGAGGTCGCGCTCATGGGCGTCATGTTGGCATGTGTGCTCTGTGGGAAAGGAGTTGGAAGAACAGCTTGGAATTGGAGGAGGGAGTTGCTCAGCCATGTTGTGACAATCGTCGCCCTGATCGCAGCATACCCGGTCAAGCTCTCAATTGTCGACACCCAAGCAACACATAGCAAGCTTTGGGAACGATTTCGAGTACCTGCCTCCTTCGATCCCGCTACTGTCCTCTATCCACCTCTCCTACCGGTCATGGTCGCCCTCTCTGTCGCCCCAAACAATCCAGCTGTTGTGCTCCCCAACATCATCCTGGGCCTATCCTCCCTACCGCAACGATTGTTCCCTCGATCAAGCCGACTGGGAGGCATCAACGCCTTACACTGGCTGATTGCAATCGTTCCGCTTATCGTATCTGAGAACACCGCCTGGCCAAGCAAGATCCGCCCACCTCAACCATACCAAATCAAGATGCCCAATGGGTTGTCTCCGGAGACACTGGTGTCTCTATACCCCTTACATCACGCTTTACTACAACCCCTACACTACCTCACAACAACAAGCCTGCTCATGTCCGAACTGCATCTTCTCTCTGCGGCTCTCACCAACTTACTACTCCTCGCATCGTCGCCACAGACTACCATTCTCAAGGCCTGTCTATGGGTTGGTGGCGTTTCCCTCTTCGTCGCCTGCGGCCCCGTCCTTCACTGGAACGTCACTCTTGCGAGAGTACCAAGATGGAAGTTGAGGAGACCGGGCCATACTGCAGAGGAGCGTAAATCGCTGGTCGATGCCGTCTCTGATGTCATCAACTTGCAGCGAGCCGCGGGAGCATTCACAACGAACACAGCAGCCGTCGACAGCGACGCAGACGAAGACGAACCACAGAAATCGATGAAGCACAGACCGAGCAAATCTACCAGTGGTTGGCCTAGACTGGATACGACTGGTCTCGTGATGCCATCTTTTAATGTTAATGTCTTTGAGCCGAAATCAGCGATCGAGCCTCGACAGCTGGCTCATTCGGTTCTGCCTGATCTCGTGGATCCACCGCAACTACGAGCAAGGCGTAACACGGTGCCTGAAAGGGAGCCACCTCCTGCGGTTCCAGAACGACAGCCCAGCAACAAGCGGAAGAATAAGCCTATCCATCACGTGCTGTGGTGCTTGCAGTTGACGCCAGAGCAAGCAACCCGGCGAAAGTGGATCTACGCTGGCTTCACTTACCTGGCGATTGTGACCATAGGATTGATTCCCATCAGAGGATATATCGCCAGAAAAGCTCTCTACGGGCAAGATCCTATCGGCTGGGCAGTCAGCTACCTCTTCAGCCAAATCCCCTTCATCCGCTCAATCATCGAAGCACTTCACCTACAATCATGGATCCCTTTACCACACGCCGGCACCTTCAACCGCCTCCCTCTATCTCTACCACTCCACATCGACGCAATCCGCAACACCCTCGGCGCCGCAAATGTTCGCCTCTTGCTCATCGCCTATTGGGTCCTTGTCCTCCTCGTCGGCCTCCTCGCTGTCTTCAGTCTCACGGCTTTTGTCGAAGTCGACACCCGCCGCAAAGTCTTTCACGGCGTCATGGTCGCCATGCTCCTCCCCGCCACCTTCGTCGACCCCTGCTACTGCGCTCTCGCCCTCTCCCTAGTCCTCGCCATCTTCCTCCTCCTCGAAGCCATCCGCGCAGGTCAAGTCCCTCCCCTCGGCAACGCAATCGGCCGCTTCGTCGCCCCCTACGTCGATGGTCGCGACTTGCGAGGCCCTGTCGTCGTCTCCCACATCTTCCTCCTCATCGGCTGCGCTGTCCCGCTATGGTTCAGCCTCGCTTCCGTACCACGCACCACCGCTGCTTCAACACCTTGGCAAGATTGGGACCTACAGAACAACATCGTCGAAGTCCCCATGATCGCCGGCGTCATCTGCGTCGGCATGGGCGACGCCGCAGCAAGTCTCATCGGACGCCGCTACGGACGACATAAATGGATCTGGGTCGGCGGGAAGAGCATCGAGGGTAGTGCCGCCTTCGCCGCCGCCGTCACTCTAGGCCTGCTCTTCGCAAAAGCATGGCAAGTCCTCGGCGGGTGGAATGACACAAATAGAACTTCCTTGGCTGGGTTTTGGGATATCGACCACGGAATTTTGACGATCGGAGTTCGCTGGTTGGCGGTGTTGTTCAAAGCGGTCTTCTGCGCTTGTGGGGCGAGTTTCATGGAGGCTGTCTTGACGGGCGCGAATGACAATGTGGTTGTCCCGGTGGCGTTGTGGTTGCTTGTTAAAGGGGTGAGGTTATAGGTCGGTCCCCTTGACCTTTTGTTTTGGGATAGAAGCGTGGAGTTCGTAGGCGTTATGGGGTCAGTGGATGTACCCATCTGCTCAACAGACAGAGACAGACGAAGATCTATAACGACGACGGTTAGCTGTGATACTTCTCTCGGCCAAGCAGAGTCTACCTCACCACATCCACCCCCGCCGAAGTCCCCTTGCACGCACGTACGACGTTCATCAGGTAGCTGCACGACATGCTTCGTCCAAACGATAGACTTCACTCGACACCTCTATCACTGCAGACAGCTTTATCCAACCAAGCACCTCCTGTTTCGTTTCCTGATTGCGTGGTTCGCGGCGGTCAGACGGGTTAGCTGCATGACAGGCTCGCCCAGACGAAACGATTTTCTGCACACCTTCACGGTCGTACATGGACGGATCGGGCAAATGCACTCAAGGGACTGTAGTAGCAGTGAGTGCTTGCTCGAACAGTAGCTAGCCGTGCTACTGCTCTGGCCAGATATCGTCATGCCCATACCATCTCTTACCCTGAGGCAACCTGCGGCCGAGGCAAGAAGACGAGTTGTCTGTCGTCGGGAGCACAGTGCACGCTGGCGACTTGGCGACGGGAAGCGATGTTGGCTAGTTGTGATACGTCGTTCTGCCAAGAAGATTAGCTGGTGGGACATTTACTAGGGAATTTACCTAGGGACGTAATAGATGCAGGGGGTGCCTGTGCATGCGGACTTGAGATAGCTGTGATACATGTTCTATGGCAGTAAGTTCGTTGATGGGATAGTGGATGGGTCGACTCCAGACAGTTCTCACCCAAGCCACATGGGAATGCGTCGTGGAATGCCTACATTAAACAAATCTCATGCATCGAAGTCGCTGAATCATGACTTCCAGCAGCGACCGGTAATCCCTCAAGCCGCATCGCCAAAATAGCGTCCACTGCCTCAGGCTCATCTTGAACCCCCTTTCTGAGGCAGTCTGCTCACGACATTCCCATAGAAGCTGGCCGTCACCAAAATGGAGCACACGGGGAGCGCGTAGTCGTTCTTGTAGCGCCCATGCTCGGCGATGTAAGGGGGCCTCGTCAAGTTGCGTTGCCCAAAGCGATACATTTGAGATGCTGTAAAGTCCAGCAAGGCGGCCATGGAGCGCCGGCAACTCGTACTGCGCGTGCTGAAGAGCGGTGTGATCACGTTCACGGCGAAGACATTCACTGCCACTGCTGGAGGTGGTCGCCGAGATGTTGCAGAAAGCGCGGCTGTAGTATTCGCCCATCTTCACTGACTCGCTCTCCCAATCTGTGAGGTTGGGTTCATTTTGGATGATGCAGAGGCTGTCGATCCAGAGATATCTGATATTCATTCTTCGTGTGATCTCAATGGCATCTTGGAAGGTCCTGCTTAGTCGCGATGACTGAATGCCGTTCTTCATATCTTCGATACTGCCTGACTGTAACGTGAAGAAGGGCTCTGATCCCCAGCAGTGGCTGAGTGTGGTGTAGCTGTCAGATGGGGTGGTCTCACTCGTCTCGATGAGCCGTATGCTATCTGTATACTCTCCCGCTCTTCCAACGTCAATCAATCTTGCTGGGTAAGTCTTGGGCACAGGTTTGTTGCACGCTGAATGGTTTCCTTCTTCCAATACCTCTTGCCGGTGAATGTCTCGTGGCAATTGTTGCACAGGTGAATTTCCCCAAGGCGGCCATTTCGTCTAGGTGTACGTCGAAGCACCATGTTCATGACAGCGGTTCATGTTGGCTCGGAGGTGATGTTGTTCGTAGAGCGGGGAATAGAGTTTGAGCTAATCTCGAGATCCTGGCTCCTTGGCACCGGCTTGTGGCTGGTGGGTGAATCTCCAGAAATTTTGGCCAGACTCCAACAACTCTACCACCTCATCCCACGCTGGCAAGATGGGGCTCTCGGGCAACAAGACGTATGGTCGCAAAATGCTATGCATGTAGCCAGTACTGACGTTTCCACAGTCGGAGCAAACTCTCCCACGACCCCAACAACACCGCCTGGTCCAAGAACACCGCCAACTTCGGCCACAAAATCCTTTCCAAGCAAGGATGGAAACAGGGCGACTTCCTCGGGGCGGAGAATGCGAATCACTCCGATCACTTCACTGCCGCGAACGCTTCGCACATTCGGGTCATGTTGAGGGAGGACAACTTGGGCCTAGGAGCGCAAATCGGCAAAGGCAATGCGGAGACGTTCGGACTAAACATGTTCTCGGGATTACTGGGAAGACTGAACGGCAAGAGTGATGAGGAGGTGCAAAAGAAGCAGGACACTATCAGAGATGCGGAGTTGAGGGCATACCAGGCGAATAAGTACGGCTTTATGAACTTCGTCAGAGGAGGGCTTTTAGTGGGCGATAAGATGGAGTTTCCGGAGAGCACGAAGATCGAGGATGTCAAGAAGACCTCCAAGTCTATCGGAGCAGAGGCGAAACAGAGCAAGAAGCGGAAAGCAGGCGAGGATGAGGATGTGGCAGAGTCGTCGAAGAAGCGAAGGAAATCTGAGTCGAAGTCAAGCCGGGCTGCATCAGAGATTGCGGTGGATGCCGCGTCGAAGAAATCTGAGGAAAGAAAGAAGCAAAAGTCGATATCCGAAGAGGAATCGCAAGATACCAGTTCCAGCTCCGAGTCTGGTGAAAGAGGTGATGCCAGGAAGGAGAAAAGGCGTAGAAAAGAGCAACGGAAAGCAGCGAAGGACTCAAAAGAACCAGCTCAAATCGACGAAGATGAAGAGAAAGCACGGTTGAAGGCAGAGAAGCGTGCACTTAAAGAAGAGCGACGGAAACGAAGGGAAGAGAAGCGAACTAAGCGGGCAGCGAAGGAGGGCGCAAAGGGTTCAGCGCAGCCGTCGACAGCGACAAGTGAGAGTGAGGGTACAGCAACGCCACCTGTCATGAACGGCGGTTTAACGATGACCGGTGGACGACACGCAGTACGGCAGCGATACATCATGCAGAAACGGATGGCTTCGATGAATGCTACGGCTTTGAAGGAGATTTTCATGTTAAAGCCCCAGCCAGCATCATGAGACAGGCTTGAAAGAAACAGCGTTGTTTTACAGCACTCTTCACGACAGACTTTGTTCCCATCACAACTGCATCAAAGACTCGCATTCGAGAGTTGGAAGCCATGCGAGGACAGATAGCTCGTATGCAGATTCTACATTTGCTACGTTCTAGATCAGACCGGTCAAATCTCTGATATTCACTCAAAGCGAAGACAAACAGTCTGTCCGACGTATATATCAGCTATGGCTGCAAATTTCTACCCAGCATCCATCACCGATCATGGAGGAATACGACGTGGTCGATTACTCCTCGTCATCAAGCGATTTGGGCGGTCCCAAGAGACACTGGCTACAGCGAACTTCCCTCGACTTTCTCAATCTTTGCGCGTCTCGAGATACGAAACATGCTATTGGCAAGGACCTGACCCTGATCTACGACAAGCTCACCCTTCATCTGTGCCCTTTTGTCAAGGGCAGCCTCCAACTGTTCAAGGCCAAATCCAGCATCTCTTCGAACGAAAACGGCATCCTCTGTGTGCCTTCAGAAGTGGTGGACATCGATGCAGACGATCCGCGAGATCACAAGATGCGGTTGCCAGAGCAAGACATTCCAGTCCACGACATCGTCCTGGGTTTGCTTCAAGATGAAGTACGCAGTGGTGCGCTTCGCAGTGTGCAGTTGATGGACGTCATATTCGATGACTTCGTCCTCGTAGGGCGCAGCACAAACAGGAGGGAGAAGGACGGGTACGAATACCACCGCCTCGAAGTCGCAGTCATGTTGTCGTTGGATCCTGCTACTGTCATGTCTTTGGGCAGGACTCTGACTCTTCCAAGACTTGGACGTTCGCCAGTCCATTACCAGCCCGATCTGCAGCTACTCAGCTTACGAACAGCCGAGACTCCACGGTTGCGAGGCGAGATGCATGATCTTCTTGACCATTCTCTGCTGGAGCGACTCTTCAAACGGGAGGGCGACTTTCGTTCATGGGATGTTATCAACCACCACCATCGCTATGACAAAGAATGGGAGCAACATCTGTGCGCTCGACGCATCACTTCGGCGGTCTCTGTCTGGAAGGTTTACAAGTCTCATCCACGGAGCGAACTCATTCATGGCTTCGTGACGTGCCAGAAAGACAACAGGAATAACATCGTGGTATTCCTGATGGATCAACAAAATGTCGAACGCAACAAGGGGAGAACTGAGTTCAGACACGATCTCGGCGATGGGAAAGGAAGGACTACGTACAGAATCATTGGGCGTCTTGCTGTTGGCGATCTCAGCAAACGGGATTGTACGAGCTTCAGCAGGCGGAGCAACGACTTCGTGAAGAGCATCATTGGGCAGGACGCAAGGGTCAAGATTAAGATTGTTGATCTTTGGCATGTCTAGACTGTAGACAGTATTCGTGCAATGAAGTCTTTGTGACTCAAGTCGTCTTTGACGATATCTCGTATCTCATCATCGCAAAAAGATTAGCTGTCCGCCCTGCGCCCAAGCACCGCCATATGCTGTGCAAATTCTCAAAATATCCACCTTCATCATATCCTCATTTTCACCACAAATCTTCTTTTCAAATCTTCGCAGTCGTCTCAACCACCTCCACCTGCGAAGCAGAGTCCTTCTCATCCAACTTCGCAAACGCCCTATACCGATTCTCCTCATCTGCCGCCGTAGCACGAATGACCTTTGTATGGTTCTTATCAAGCCCCATGCAGACTCTCGGGCCGTCGATAAACATCGTGTCGATCTGCTCAAGAGTACGCCCGGACGTTTCCACACCGAAGAAGTATGTCAGGGGCACGAAGGATGCGCAGACGATGGCCCAGATCCAGAAGTAGTTCCCGCCGATGGAGGAGAGGCCAATGGGGGTTACCATGACCACGACGAAGTTGGACATCCAGTGCGAGAAGACGCCGACGGCTGTGGACTTGTTGCGGACGCGGAGGGGCTGGATTTCGGCGGAGTAGGACCAGGACACTGGGAGGATCTGCGGAGGAGGTTAGCGAACGTCTGAGAGACAAGTAAGAGGGCAACTAACGCCGAGTGTAAAGGCGTCAAGGTAAATGAACATGAAAGCGACAGCGGCAGAAGCGGTGGCGTAGGTCTGGGAGATCAAGCAGCCAGCAATGACCGCCATACAGATGGCGCAGCCAATCGAGGACCAAATGACGGTCCAGCGACGACCAATCTTGTCGATGTAGAAGTATGGCGGCCAGGAGAAGATAGCGTATTGGGTGAAGGCGGCGGAGGTGAGGATGAGGGACATGCTGGTGGAGAAATTGAGGTATGTCTGTAGGATGTAGGCGAGATAGTAGCAGAGGGCGTTGATTCCGGACCACTGACAAAACGTTAACCTGAAGACCTTGGAAAAGATTTATCTTCTGCGCGAACTTACCTGGTTCATCATGTACGGACCCATACCGAGCAGGACACGGTGAAGGTTGCGAGACTTGGTGGCATTGCTGAAAGTCTCCGCCCAAGACGGCTCGCCGTCCTCGTTCTCGGCGTTTATGGCCTCAAGGATCTCATTAAGCTGGCCCTTGACCTCTGGGTCGTCCTCTGGCTTGTTGAGAAGACGGGAGATGGTATGGCGAGCCTCCTCAATCTTGCCGTGCTTGGCCAACCAACGTGGGGTCTCTGGCAGGAATGGACAGCAGCCGAGAACGAGCAGGGAGAAGAGGATCTGGCAGGCAATGGGGAATCGCCATTGCAAGCTGGATTGAGCGTAGAGGGTTGCGAAGCAGAGCCACGATGCGATGGCAACACCGATAATGATCAGAGCGGACTGGACGACCAGGAGAGCGCCACGGTTGTGTGATGGCAGGGTCTCGGATTGCAAGATTGGCACTGCCACAGTGGAGAGTCCAACACCAATTCCACCAATGATTCTGCCGCCGATCATTTGGCCGTATGAGTAACATGCGGTCTGCACTGCGGCTCCGACGATGACGATGATGTTGGCGAGGATGATCGATCGCTTGCGGCCGAGTTGCTCTCCCCAGATGAATGCTGCTACTGCTCCGAGTGCACACCCGATGTCGTAGACTCCTGTCACCAAACCGGTCATGGTTGGTGATGGGTCGCCGAGCATTGTCTTGAATCTGTGGCCGCCCAGGATGCCACCGAAGAGTCCTTGATCATAGCTACACGCGGAACGTCAGCGCACATCCAGCACAGCAACCTGCTGGTCAACATACCCAAAGAGCAAGAAGTCCAGCCCACTCGCAATCAGAATGACCGCAATCAAAGCGGTTCCGCGAAGCTCGAACATGTTGGAGGAGATGTCTTCTGAGAAGAGCGATGCAAGATGAATTCGACGCTGAGCAGGCAACGATCTGCGTGATGCCACTCCGTCAACTGGCAACGGCAGTACTCTTTATACACTCCGCCCATGTCTCAGGATTAGCCATGTGGTGCCCCAGACTTCTCCAGGCTTGGTTAACCTTCTCCGTGTCCAAGTCCTTGCTAGCTCGAGACTCGGTACATGTCAACGCTCCGCACTGTACAACCCCAGATAGTGGAGCAGTTGTCTGGGGAGGTCTGGGCCGGTATACCTTGAACAGACTTCCCAGCTACCAGCATGTGCAAACAAGCTTGCCAGCAGACTTCGGCGCTAGCGAGATCTCGACGCCACAGCCACCGCTACTTCCTATCCTGGTAGTCCGAAGTGACGATCAGACCAAACGCCGCAAAGTTCGAAACAGTGGTCGCTGCGCATTTGCCAAAATATTGGCTTCTGGAACTTCTTGGGCTGTTTTCTATAGAGGCTTATGGTCTTGCAGGATTGTGGGCGATTCTCACGTGGCAGACGGGCCGAGGCGACCGATGATTTGGGGAGGCTGGGATGCTCAGATGGGCATCCCGTATCACGGTGAGAGGACTGCACTCCATCCGACATGGCGTTTTATGCCAATGCGATTCACGACAAGAAGAAGATTGTTGGCTGTGCTCGACTCCTCAATGATACCAGCCACCAGATTGGGGTAAGAAGACGAGCGAGTGGAACTCCGAGTTTCGCATCACAGACCGCCGAAGATCTGGATTTTGAGGCCTCCCACCGGACTCATCATCCTACGATCTATGGAAAGCACAATCAATCAAAGTACTTGATTTTTACGCCCCCGAGAACCTCCTTCTCCTTGTGGCCGCCATCGACGGCCTTATCCTGGTTCTGCCTGACCCTGGTACGGACCCAGTCGCCAGCTTTGATACCAGCAGCCTCATCGCCAGAGTCCTTGAGTCCCAGACGCCTTAGCAATGGGCTATCTACTGTCTTCAAGTCTAGATCATGAGAGGGACTATATCAATCAGCATTGGCCATAAAGGAAGTGCTTGACAAAGCGGAAGGATGCTTACCGCAGGAAGTAAAGCAAGCCAAGACGATCGAGGTGAGCCTGGTCTTCTGGTGGGGCAACAACGCGATGCACAGAGGACTTCAGGTACCCGTTTGTCCAGAACTGTAAGACATCTGCAATGTTGACGGTGATGCTCTCAGGATACGGCTTCACCCACTTCCACGATCCATCGGGCATCTTGACTTGAAGTGCGGCAATGGGTTGGCGAAAGAGCAATGTCAGGCTACCGAAGTCTGTGTGGCCTCGAGAATACATGTTCTGGTATTTGGCATTCTCTTCAGGAGTCCTGGCCCGGTAGATCATATACCTGAGGTGGCAGTCTGAGAGGTCGTTGTAACGATGGCCGTTCGACAGGTAGTCCTCAGGGAGTTCCAAGACGATTGAGATCAGGGTCAGCAGCTTCTGGACGACGTCTTCGGCAATGTGTCTCTGGAACTTCTCAATCTCAGGGCGATGCTCGTAGATCAGGTCTGGATGGCTCCTCTCGTTCTCCGGAAGGAACTTGAAGACATTGTACATCTCGACGTTGTCTCGCAGGCCCGGGAAGAGCTCGATCGTGCCTTTGGGACGGTAGCCGCTGTAATGGCCGTGCTCCAGGTCTGCTCGATGCTTGAGCTTCTCTTCTTCTGGCAAAGCAAAGATCTCTTTCCCAATGGCAAATTGGTGATTGACTTCTTCCTGCGTTAGACCGAAGCCGGTGATCTGGTATGGTCGTTAGCGGTTGCTGAATTCGGAAGAATGTTCCATCGACACACATAGAAGAAGCCAACATTGTGGACAGCGTCTCTGAGCTGATTTGCAAGCTTCTCCTTCACTCCTGGAGCATCGAACTGGGACAAGTCCAGAGTGATCAAATCGGCCCAGTCGACTATTCAGTATCAGCTTCTATCATGACAGTCCACAAATGCGACCCATACGTTCATGCTTTGACTCTGCAGCCTGTTGATACGTCGGCAACGTTCGAGTGCTGGTCGTGGTAGCCATACTGCTTGCTCTATGGGTTACCAGAAACGAGAGATACGAAGAAAGTCAGAATATGAATACCAAGTGATAAGCAACACAAGTTGAGAAAGACAGTATCTGAATTCAGCAACAATAGAAAACATAGATTTGATGTTTTATCATCAAAAAGCCCCCACCATACTGGCCGACAAGCGGCGAAGCCCCTCACGCGAGGATGGATCATTCCTGGAGTGGATGTACCTTGGTACCGTTTCATCGACAGGACAAGGCGAAGGTGACTCTTGCTAAGCAACGGATAGCTGTAGCCGTGGAGCTTTTCTCACGACAAGTCACGTGAAGCATCACGTCTGTCAACTGCATATGGCGTGATTGCTAACATTCACTCGCCGTCGGCGAACTTGAATCAACATCGTCCCTTGCCAGGACCTTGATTGGGCAATGCGTTGCAATCGAGAACCCTCACGAATCAGGCTCTGTCAAAGCCGTTGATGCCATTGGTCTCTGGACGATCGTCATTCGAAAGACCTTCCCTCGCAACGAACATTCATGGATATCAGAGGATTACAATGGAGCCTCAACGCTTCATAAACATGCTGACGAGTGGATCCATGCCGGCAATAAAGTGCCATGCGGTGCCATGCGTGGCGACGACGCAGCTTGGCTACGTGGCACGTCGAGTGGAGTATGATTGATGTGCTGCCATCCATGGATCGAGCCTACTAGACTCAAGAGCCGGCATCGTCAAATACAAGTGACCTGCGTGTGGCAACTCTGTTTTGGAGATCACCGTTGCAATGGCTTCCTCGCCGGAAACTTTCAACATGGATTCGAAGAAGGACGTCGACGTTGCGGAACTTCCCTCGCCAACAGCGTCTGTGGTCGACGACTATGATTCCAAGCCAGCGAAGGTGGCCTACAGGAAGGCCGACATACGTATCCTTCTCTTCTACTCCGTCGTTTACCTCTTCATGAGAATCAACGTCTCGAACATCACGAATACGGCGATCATCAATATCGATGAAGGGGACGGCATCAAGAAGCAGCTGGGCAATCTCACCAGCTCCCAATGGGCCTGGGTCATCTCTGTGTTCTATTTTCCCTATATGTTTGGTTAGAAATTCAATCTCCAACGTGGTATTACTTCTCCTGACGTTCTTTTCTAGCCGAGCCGGCGTCGACCGTTCTCCTGAAGCACTTTTCGCCAAGCGTCTGGATGAGTCGAATAATGATTTCTTGGTAAGTAAACGTAGCATACTCTTCGCAAACAGTGCTAACGATATCAGGGTACGAAAATGCAAAATGTACTGCTTCCTTGGAGCTGACGATATCAGGGCGTCATTTCAATGTGTCAGGCTGCAACACAGAACTACGCCGGAATCATAGCGACGAGATTCTTCCTTGGCCTCGCGGAGGCGGGATACTACCCAGGAGTTCTGCTACATCTGGCCTTTTGGTTTCCCGCAAAAAGCACAGCTTTGCGGATTGCATTCTTCTATGCCTGCGGCCAATTCTCCGGAACCATTAGCGGGCTTTTGGCATTTGCCATATCGTTCATGAACGGCGCAGGAGGGTTGTCCGGATGGCGCTGGGTATTCATCATTGAAGGAAAGGACCATTTGCTGTGGAACGTATAGCACCACAAAGCTAACACTCATCGCAGGGATCCCTGCCATATTGTTCGGCTGCTATGCATTCTTTTTGCTGCCAAACTACCCCGAGACCTCCAAATGGCTCACGGACGGTGAACGGAAGATCATACTTGACAACCTTCCCAAGACGCAGCCATCATCGAAAGCGAAGACCTGGGACTTCGCACAGGTCAAGGCACTCTTCAAGAATCCAACCACAATCACCTTCACTCTCATATGGATATGTCATGCCATCGGTGGCTGGGGTGTCTCTACCGTCTTACCAACGGTGATCCTCGAGCTGGGGTTGACAGGCTCTGCCATAACGCAACTCCTGACTATGCCTACTTATGTGAGTTCTGGGCCGCCGATTCTGCTCAAGACTATCGTATCTGACAAAGTAATGCAAGGGTTTCGGATGCTTCTGCCTCGTCTTCTTCGGCTGGGCAATCCAAAGGAAAATCTTCCAGCCCTGGATCACAGCCATGTGTCTCGAAGTCATCACCTGCATCTGCTACATCCTCCTCATCGTAGTGAAGAACTCCATCGCCAAATACTGTCTCCTCAGTATCGCAATCTCATGCTCCATCTGCATCTACCCAATCCTGTGGCCCGAGCGGATCCGCGCTGCGCATGGAACAACAACTGCTGGACTGGCGATCGGTCTCACGAATGCTTCTGCTCAATTCTCAGGCTTAGTGGGCCCACAAGTGTTTCAAAGCAGGTTTGGGCCGACGTATAAAGTCTCTTACTCGGTGTCTATTGGGCTTCTGGCGGGCGCGATTGTATCGATCGCGGCGAGCTGGTATCTCGTGAGAAAGCAGGATCGACGAGATGCGGCAAAAGAGGAAAATGTTTATGGCCAAGCTGAGCAGTCAGGGGTTTGATGAACATGATACAATGATTGCTAATGCTATCAAAATAGCAGCTCACATCACATGGTCACAAAAGACACCCTAGACATATTCTCTATTCTCCAAGAACAGCAACGTCTTTCACGGCATCATCTCTCATGGTATCGTCACTCCTGGTATCCCTACGAGCCCTTCTACGTCGCCGGCGGCGCGATGACTACCTCCCTGGTCCCGTTCCGAAGTCTGTGAAGCACTGCATCGTGATCGTTCAAGGGCTGCAAGTGTGGACCAGAATTGTTGGAACCCCATGAATGAAGTCGCTCTTAAGCAGTCCCAGAGGCTCTTGAAGTGGTTGTAGTAGAGATTGAGCAAGCTCAGAGGTGAGAATAGTATCTTCGGTCATACTTACTGGGAAGAGAAGGAGATATTCGATTTGAGCCACAGACTTTGGTCCTGCGAGGAGAGAAGCAGCTTATCTACGAGGTTGATTCGTAGACCGGAAGTCTTCAGGGAACATAGACTTATACCAAGGAGACGAAGATGAACAGCAATTTCAACCAGTCAACCGGGCCATCAAGGTCCACCGCATCAGTCATTCACCAACATTCAAGCTGCGGCCCGTCCCATTCGACTAATGCTCACTTTCACATGACACCCAGCTGCCAAGATCGACACAAGCATCACTTCTCCCCAGAGAAGCTTCCATCAGGCGGCTCTTCCTCATAAGCCTCCACACCCTCGGGAATATCCACAACCGCACTCTTCGTCCAAATATGCACCTACCACCCCAAAATCAGCAAACCACCCTCCCTCATCTCTCTCCCCTCAACTCACCGCCCCCCTCATCATCTCCCTCCCCAACCCCGTCAAACACCCCGCCTTAACAGCAACATCCGCAGCCTCCCGCCCCTCCTTATCAATATGCAAATGATAGATCCTGCTCCCACAATTCGTGCAAAAGAACCCCTTCGTCACGACGTTGGGGTTGGGGCGGCTGTATGTCGAGAGGGCGCCGGTGAGGGGGAAGTAAGGGAAGACGGCGGTCATGCCGTAGGTCGAGGAGGATTGGTGCCGGCATTCGGTGCAGTGGCAGATGTATAGGGCTTGCGGGGAAGGGAGGGGGGTTGTGAAGCGTATGGTGCCGCATTGGCAGTGGCCTTCCATTTTTGGGGGAGAAGGGCTTGTTGGTGATGTTCTGGGGTGTTGGGGACGAGTTTTGGACGGGAGATGTGAGGTGGTGCGAATGCGAGGAGAGCTCACGAGCTGTGCTGAACTTGGGAAGAGTGAGGAGCTCTCGGTTTGCCGTTGTGATCCGCACATCAGGTGATGGGGGCTCTTCTATGCTCTCCGATTGCCTATAGGTGTGGCGATTCACTTCATCGACGACAACGGACTGGCCTTCGTTACCACGCTAAACAGTAGATGTTCAGTGCTGTTCTCATTGCCATTTCGTATGGATACATGCTCAATCGTTCTCAGTTGCCATCACTTTCCACGCTCCACGGACCTTCACCAACACCACCCTCAATACATTCCAACAATTCGACAGCCCGTCCCTCCGTCCATCTCCACAGCCTCCACCACTCCCTCCCCTCATACGTCAAAAACACCATCCCCCTCAACCTCAAAGCCCTCGCAACATCCCCAAACCTGACCCCTGCCCCATCACTTGCATTCACCACAAGATCGAGCTTCTCACAGTGATCGTCCACGAGAATCTTAATGCTAGCCAGGGGAGGCTGCGTCAAGAACTGTTTCTTCCAGCTCGGCTCGTAGTCGACGCCCATACAATAGAGGTATTTGGAGTACTTCTTGGAAGGCGCATCAGTCCGTGAGATGAGGGGGTGCTCGAAGATTTGTTGGCGAAGGTCGCGTTCTTCTGTGAGGGGATAGAATCGTGGGGTCCAGTTGTCATGGTCTCGACGGAATTCGTGGGATGGTCGAGGCGTGTCATTCGATAGGCTGACACTGCTTTTGTTGCTGGTCACAGGAGACGTGATATTTTTCTTCTTTGCGTCTTTCTTCTGTTTGCGAGTGAACTTACGGAACAGGTTGGCGGAGCTCGATGATTCTGTGACGGTTCTGGTGTTGGCCGAGTCGTTTGGAAGATCATGTGAAGGTGTCCTATGGTGCATGGGAATAGCACTTCCCAAAGCAGAATCCATGTGTCGAGTTAGATAAGGTGTCGCCGGAGATGAAGATGTCTCCCAAGGCAGCGTCTGGGCTCTTTGGATTGATGTGGCTCCAGTCAGAGGAATCTGGCTCGTGCTCTCTGACTTCGAGATCGCCTTCTCCGCGTCAATGACCCTCTCAGGCTTGACGAATGTCAGCGGACGTTTGCTGATGGGCTTGAAGAAGAGCGCTTGTTGGAGACGGTCCGAGTTGGCGATGATCGCCTTCCACGTTCTGGAGATCCCCTGAATGCGGACGAGCAATTCACGCATATCGAGCTGCAAGAAGACCAGCTCTACCAACTTGTGGTTCGCGAGGAGTGTCTTACAGGCCGGACCTGCTTGACTTCGATCATCCGAGTCTTGCTGATGATCTGGGTCCTGTTCATCCGCGTCTTGTCGGCCATTCGGTTCTTGCTCGAGATTCGGATCTTGCTCATCGTCTAGTAAGATTGGTCCTGTGTCGTTGGGTTGGTAGATAGCATATCTTCGGTTTCGCATCTTAGGTCGTCGGGTGCTTTTCTCAGGAATTGGTGGAGGATTTGTTGTCATTGCCCGGCTGCGACTTGTAGAGTGTTTGTCGAGAGCTTGCAAGAAACAAGAGCAATGTCAGATATCAGTCGCAGTGGTCAGGTCGGCCTAATCACGAGATGTGGGCGCAGTGAAAGACATGTGACCGTCTTCAGTCGTCGCTCAGCGGACATCACTCCAGCTTGTCAAAATATTTGGCAAAGAAGGACTGTCCGTCGCATATCTCCCATTGCAGGCTTCATCATCCGTCAATTTTTCAGGTCAGATCCCGCATAAGTACTCGTCAGGCATCCACCAGAGATCGTCGCACTCGTCCTCGATATCCTCTTCCACGGGTCGGATGTTCAAGCGCATGGCGATTTTGGCTTCCTTCAACTGCTGAGGCCCTTTGTAAGACATCCAAGCTGACCAGGAGTCTATCCTAGCAAGGGTGCGACTTGGAAGCCCATCACTGATGTCGCCCAAAGTAACGCCCTTGCCATCTGATGTCGTCACCCACTTCCATTCATTGCAGTGTGCTTCTCCGACCGGTGGTTGGGTGATCAGCATCTTTCTCCAAGATGCCCCAGGGCGTGTGAATGCTTCATCTTGCAGACAAACTTTCTCGTGAGAAAGAAGAATCAGAAACGGATTCTCCAAAACCATGCGTGGTATGTGCCAGTGTTCGTCGCGTGTCCACCATTGCAGTATGACGGCAGACATGTAGGCATACACCCTCTTGTCACAGATCGGCTTCATGAAGAGATGTTCCTGAACAAGATTCGAGGTTTCGACGGCATCCTTCCACTGTCTGGAGACTTGCTGTGCGCCGCATAGTAAATCTCGAAGTGGTAGATCCAGCAAGATCTGATCGGCCAGTTCCGCGGTACCGAAGACTTTGGCGCATGCTGATATCGCGTCTTGCTCTTCGCTTTTCATTGAGGCCATTGAGATCTCGTTGTCTCGTCTTGTGTTGAGTTTGGAGAGAGTGTGGAAGAAAGAGGGCAGGAAAGAGGGCAGGTAGGAGTCATCGTTTCCATGTGCGCTTGGAGTCGGACGTGGCCCGTGACGCACCTACCTTTTGTTTTGGCCGCGGGAGTGAGCAAAACCATAGGAAATGAGCGAAACACCTGCCTACATTCTAAAAGAAGCCTGCAATGTCTTTGTGAGAGATGGGAGAGAAGAAAGTCGAACACGACTAGCACGGATTAGCTGTCACATGCTAGCCGACGTTGGCCCGTGCCAACGGTTGAGTGAATGTAGGTAGCGTCACGAAAAGCAGATCTGTTCAGGAGATGATAGAAGAAACTGAAGTCAAGAAACAAAAGTCATATTCCTTTTCCAGTACATTTGAAATATCCCCACTCTTTGCATCGATCTAGATCCAAACTCGCCCTGTTCCTGAAGTGAGTGACGTATGATCCGCCAAAGAACCCCGCCTCGAGGTCTCCCATCCCCCAAAAAGCCCCTCGCATGATACAACGTCAATGGGCCGAGCAACTGCGGGAAGGGAATGAAGCCAGGAAAAAGCCACATGGCTTTTTATTAAATAATACAAGCTCCCGCCATCAAGGTGCTCTCGAGTCTCTACTTTCATTCACTCACCAAGGCAATAACCGACCAATCAGAAGCCCGGAGTATCAGCTTTCACAATACACTCGACAAGTAAAGACAACCACGAAAATGGCCTCCCAACCCCAAATCCCCAAAGAAATGCGCGCCATCCAAGTCGTCGAATTCAACAAACCGTACAAAATCAACACCGTCCCCGTCCCACAACCCTCAGAGCTCGCCCCGCTCGACCTCCTCGTCAAAGTCGCCGTCGCCTCAAACTGCCACACCGATCAAATGGTTTCCGAAGGCGTCTTCGGGCGCCCGCTCCCCCAAACCGCCTCGCACGAAGGATCCGGGACCGTCGTCGCCACCGGCGCGGACGTCAAGGGCTTCGCGGTGGGCGACCGCGTGATGTGCGGGATCCCGTTCCATCCCTGCGGGAGCTGTAAGGATTGTTTGGGGCCGGAGTCACAGAAGCAGTATTGTATGCAGTTGGAGGGGCATATTGGCGTTCAGCGAGACGGGTGCTTTGCGGATTATGTTAAGTGCGATTCGAGGAGTACGACGAAGTTGCCGGATGCGGTGACGTTTCAGAGTGCGGCGCCGTTGGCTTGTGCGGGGCGGACGGTTTGGAGGGCGGTGTTGCAGGCGGGGTTGAAGAAGGGGGAGTGGCTTGGGATTGTAGGGAGTGGTGGAGGTTTGGGGCATTTGGGGGTACAGTTTGCGAAGGCGTTGGGGTTGCAGGTTGTGGGTGTCGATGCGAGAGATGAGGGATTGGAGCTGTCGAAGCATTATGGTGCGGATATCGTTGCGGATGCGAGGAAGGGCAAAGAGGGCGTTGTCAAGGAGGTCCACGCCGTGACAAATGGCGAGGGTGTGGATGCCACTGTCAACTTGTCGGATCACCAGGACGCGGCGGCGATTGCGTGTGCTGTGACCAAGATGCATGGCACAATGGTCCAGATTGCCCAGCCCGATAACATTGTCATTCCCTTCCCGGAGATCATCTTTAGGGACATTCGCGTAAGGGGTAGCCTGATATCGAGCGCGGAAGAGTCGAAGAGCATGTTGGACTGCATCGCGGAGCATGGTGTGACCGTCACCACGCAGCCTTTCCAAGGGCTGGACAAGATCGGAGAGTTGACGGAGTTGGTGCACGGCGGCAAGCTCAAGGGCAAGGCCATCATCATCGTCGACCCAGAACAGGTTGAGCATGAGAAGAAGATTGGAGCGAAGTTTTAGCAGAGACATCGACAGAGAGAAGAAAAGTCTTCTTTGATACAGAGGAGAATGGATTGGACGTAGTAGACCTTTTTGAATACCGCCACAATACTCCAGGTCCATCGATTGATCCCGCTTCATTGTACAATATGTGCACTGTTCGACCGTATGAACTCGTTCCATCTCATCGCCATGACGCCGCGCAGAATGCCCTGTGACGCCCGAAATGCATAGTCCCACCCTGTCACCCAGAGGAAACGTTGTCCAGTTTCCACCTCATATCATATTCTTGTTCTTCTTCAAATTGAACGCCTTTTGATCCTTGAGCCATCGTCGATAGTCCTTGACGCTGGCAATCTTCTCGCCGTAGTAATCCGGGATGGGGTTTTGCGGGCTCGAGGCAGAGGCGTCGGCACGATAACGCTTGATGCGGGCGTAGAAGGATTTCTCTTTCTGTAATGATGACATTGTTAGTCCTCCTTTAAGAACAAATCATACCCCTTCGTCCCTCGCTATCCTCAACTCACCTCAGCAATCAACTTATTCCACCCTCTTCTCCCCGCCCAAAGACTGAACAGAGCAGTACCAAAACTCGGCCCACAGAGCCATCCGCCGGCTGCAACAGCAAAGGTGCTGATACCGAACACCACGATCGGGTCCATTCCAGATATCTGCGCACCCCAGGAATCGAAGTCTTGGTTGGCGATGATTGGTGTGACGACTCCTACTGCTGCCACTGCGGTGACGGCGGAGCAGCCGACATTGAGAAACCTTCTCTTGCGCCTGAGATCGAAGAAGCGATCCCACGTCAAGAGATCTGGAGGAGGCTCCTGGTGTGAGGTTGTGGATGTTGAAGAAGCCTGTCGTAGACCATGTTTGGTAGTCTGTGTCTTCGATAAATGAGAGGTAATGGAAGGGCGTTTGTTGTTGCTCGTTCGCGAGGGGTGTTTCGACGGTCTGGCGGTGCTGAAGGCGACTGTGGCTTTGGCGGGGAGGGAAAAAGTGCGTGGTGCGGTGCTCAATGACCTCAAGCAGGTCGTCCGGGTACAAAGGAGTGTTGCCATGGTTGGGTGGTTCTGATGATGGTACGCAGTGGTGGTTGTTGGCTTGCTCCTCCTCACATCGCGGGTGAAGCTTCGACGGCTCGCATCATCGAAAGCTTGGCATGCACGAGCCAGCTTGCTGACTACAACGCATGTGAAAGTTGAACCGACTCTCTCACCTTCACTCTTGACTGCATTCAGAAACTTGTGCGAATCTTCATCGAAGAGCTCATTTGAGCTTTGATTCGTGCCTTCGATTTTGCTTAGCTTTACCCGTGCTCGTTGCTCTACTCAAGACTTCACTTGAGCCTCTCTCGTGCCACCGTCAGCGCTTGACTTATGTTCGGTAGACTGTTTGTATTGGCTCTTTGAGACCACGACCCTTAGACCTGGCGAGCATGGAAGAGGCATTTGAAAAGGCGGTAGAGAGCAGAGAGATCCCAGGAGCGGCTCTTCTCTCGACGAACAAGTCAGGCACATTCAGCTTTGCGAAATGTTTCGGCAGACGAGGGATCGACGAAGATGAAGAACCACTAGAGACGGATACAGTAATGCGTATCGCCAGCGCTACGAAATTGCTCACTTCTGTAGCCTCCATGCAATGCGTTGAACGAGGACTTCTCAATCTCGACAACGAGATATCATCCACCGTACCGGAACTTGGAGCATTCCAAGTGCTGACTGGCTTTGGTGAAGATGGACAGCCCATACTACGTCCGCCAAAACGGCCGATTACACTTCGTCGTTTGCTATCACATAGCTCCGGATTGTGCTATGATGCGATGCACCCACTCCTGATACAGTATCGAAAATGGCAGGGCATTCAACTCCAGCCAGACTTTGAGACCATAGCAGAACGCTTCACCTACCCACTTGTGTATGACCCTGGTGATGGCTGGAGCTACGGCCCTAGCTTGGAGTGGGCAGGGAAGGCAGTCGAGAGGGCCAGTGGATTGACTTTGGATGCATACTTGCAACACAACATCTGCACGCCTCTCGATATCCGAGATATGACTTTCAAGCTGCAGCAACGGCCAGACATGATTAAGCGCAGAGCTACATCCTGTGATCGAGATGAACAGGGTAATCTGACTGCGGGCGATAACGACTTCTGGCGAAAGGACTTCGAAGACGACTTCGGCGGTATGGGCTGCTTCACGACGCCGGCGGATTACTTCAAAGTCATGACGTCCCTCCTTCATGATGATGGAAAGCTGTTGAAGCCGACCACGGTAGACATGCTATTTGAACGTCAACTTGGAGAAGCCGGTGAGCAAGGGATGGCAGATGTCTACGCCCATGAGCTGTTTGGTCAAGCCATGGGACACCTCGTACCCAAAGAGGTCAACAAGAGCCATGCTCTTGGAGGCTCACTGATGATGGATGATGCAGATGGCAGTAATTGGAGAAGGAAGGGCACGATGGTTTGGGCCGGCCTGCCTAATGTCATCTGGTCGATTGATCGTGAGGCTGGTAGATGTTGTCTTTATGCATCGCAAGTGCGGCCACCAGGTGATCCACCGTCTTTGCGACTGGCCGAACTGTTCGAGAGGTCCATGTATAGCCGTGCGACTGGTTGAGCTGAAGGCGTTCGTGATGTCGTCAGATAGAATACATCCATGTCTAACAACACCGTCACTTGGAAGAGTTTCAAGCCATGGCTAGATTCACTCTTCGGGGATGCCGTGCTTTCAAGATGAAATTCTCTTCCACCAGCGTCATATGCTGATACACTCAGAGTTCCAAGTGATGCGTAGAAGTGCGTGTCGATGAGGCCGGGGAAAGGCGGGAAAAGTCGGGGTCAGAGCGATCTCAGCAGTCGAACCTTGACCGCGATAAGCTCTTTACAAGAGGATTCTTTGAGATCAGGCACGTGCCTCGAGTCCATGCTCGTGCACAGAGTGAATGGGGTGGAGAGGACTTCGGAGTGAAAATGACGTGAAGTTCTGGACGGCGGTGAAAAAGGAGAAGTGACTGGAAGGAGCGGGCAGGAGCAAAGCGCTGGCTGGAAGATTCAAGGAAGTCGCCACAAAAGTTTAGCTCCGGGAGCAGCCGCGTGACGGTTTGGTCCCTTCTTCTTCTGAGGAAAAAATTCCCACAGCGTTTCCTCCAACACCACAACAACAACACCCGCCCTCTGTGTGTGAAACCCAAAAGCACACTCAAAAGCTCGTCTCTTTGTTTCATCGGTCTCTTCCTGCAGTGTTTCTGCGCGAGAGGCATCACCGCATTCCTACACACCGCTCCACTCACCGACCCGGTTCGCTCACTTGCACACCAACTTCATCCACCACCACCACCAGACGAACCTCTGACATCATGGCCGACTCGCTCAACATGAACGGTCTGTCCCTCAAGGACTCGCAGCACGCTCCGCCACCAGGCCAGGAGCACCAGCAGAACGGCTTCGGCGAGCGCACCGCCTACATCCCACCGCACATGCGCACGCGCGGCGGCGGCCCACCGCCATCAGCTGGCCCAGGTTTCGACGGCGGCCCACCACCACCCCCCGCCGCAGTCGCCAACGGCATGAACGGCAACGGCTTCCCACCGCCAGGCGGGTATGTATTGCAAGAGAATGTATGCCATCAACACACGCTGACAGATAACCACAGTCGAGGCTACGGCGGCCCACCCCGTGGAGGCGGCAGCTGGGGCGCTGCCCAGACCTTCACCCCTCGTGGCGGCAACAACTGGGACAACTCGCCCCAGCTCCCTCGCGGCTTCGACCGTAACGCGTACGGTGCAGCATCAGGAGGAGGCGGCAGCGGCCGTTCCCACACTGGCGCAGGAGACGGACAGTGGAGAGATGGCAAGCACGTCCCAGGACCAGCAAACCAGCGCCTTGAGCGTGAGCTTTTCGGCACGGTCAACGAGTCGACCGGACACGCCACAGGTATCAACTTCGAGAAATACGACGACATCCCCGTCGAGGCTTCCGGCCAAGGCGTGCCAGAGCCCGTCACCACCTTCACGAACCCACCTCTCGACGACCATCTCATCACCAACATCGAGCTGGCCGGCTACAAGGTCCCAACCCCAGTCCAGAAATACTCCATCCCCATCGTCATGGGTGGCCGTGACTTGATGGCTTGTGCTCAGACTGGTTCCGGAAAGACTGGTGGTTTCCTCTTTCCCATCCTGTCTCAGGCATACCAAAACGGCCCAAGCGGCAACGTCCCACAACAGTCTGGCTTCGCCCGCCAGCGCAAGGCATACCCAACCTCGCTCATCCTTGCACCAACTCGTGAGCTCGTCTCTCAGATCTATGATGAGGCCCGCAAGTTCGCCTACCGCTCCTGGGTCCGCCCTTGTGTCGTGTACGGTGGTGCCGACATTGGCTCGCAGCTGCGCCAGATTGAGCGTGGATGCGATTTGCTTGTGGCTACTCCAGGCCGTCTGGTCGACCTGATCGAGCGAGGCAGAATCTCACTTGCTAACATCAAGTACCTCGTTCTCGATGAGGCTGACCGCATGCTTGACATGGGTTTCGAGCCACAGATCCGCCGCATTGTTGAAGGCGAGGACATGCCACCAACCGACGGCCGCCAGACGCTCATGTTTTCGGCCACCTTCCCACGCGACATCCAGATGCTTGCTCGCGACTTCCTCAGAGAGTATATCTTCCTTTCGGTCGGCAGAGTCGGATCTACGTCGGAGAACATCACTCAGAAGGTGGAGTACGTCGAGGATATCGACAAGCGTAGCGTGCTCCTCGACATCCTGCACACTCATGGTGCGGGTTTGACCCTCATTTTCGTGGAGACTAAGCGCATGGCCGACTCTTTGTCCGACTACCTCATCAACCAAGGCTTCCCAGCGACCTCCATCCACGGTGATCGCACTCAGCGCGAGCGTGAGCGTGCTCTGGAGATGTTCCGTACTGGTCGCGCTCCTATCCTCGTCGCCACAGCCGTCGCTGCTCGAGGTATGTCACTCCCCAACTCATCGCACAGCACAAACACCCCTTTCATCCTTTCCTCCCCCAGTCCGGCTCGACTTTCGTGAGATAACCTGAAGAATATCATACTGACTGCCTAAAAGGACTTGATATTCCCAACGTGAAGCACGTTGTCAACTACGACCTCCCAACCGATATTGACGACTACGTTCACCGTATCGGTCGTACTGGACGTGCCGGAAACACCGGTATCTCGACTGCCTTCTTCAACCGCGGCAACCGTGGCGTCGTTCGCGACCTCATCGATCTACTCAAGGAGGCCAACCAGGAAGTTCCAGGCTTCCTCGAGACCATCGCTCGTGAGGGCTCTGGCTTCGGTGGTGGCGGCCGCGGCGGTGGTCGCTCTGGTGGTGGCCGTGGACGTGGTGCTTCTGCCATGAAGGATGTCCGTACCTACGGCGGTGGCCAGCGTCCAGCCTACTCTGGCGGTATGATGGGCGGCTCTGGCGGCGGCTTCGGAGGCTCTGGCGGCTACGGAGGCGGTGGCTACGGCATGGGTGGCGGTGGCGGCTACGGCATGGGCGGCGGCAGCGGTGGTGGCTACGGCAACCCAAGCGGTCCATCCGGCGGAAACAGCTGGTGGTAAACGGCCACTCGCCACATCCACCACACCGACAACACCAACCCGACCTCTCCTTTCCTTACGACTTGTTTTTGGTGCGACTACTTTGCTTTTCTATCCCGAACGCGAACGTCCTTGGCGGATCGAACGAGCGTGCGGCAACATTATACCCAAACCAGCATGATAGACTGCGTTGACTTCTCGGCTGCATTTCACGGCGTGGGGAGACGGCGCTTTGAACTTGATGATACCGTGGCGCGTTGAACCACGGAGGTTCCAGCTTTTCTCACTCTCAGGCTTTGAGTGACCGGAGCGGAACTCCACGACGCTGTTCACAGTTACGGGCCACGGTACATTTACGATGCGAACGACACTCGGCTTTCTTGCCGCTGCTTTGGGCAGTGGTGGTGGTCGCAAGCTCACTAGATCATTGTGATTTCTTCTGCGAGGCGTTCAGTTACTAGATGGGACAGGCGTGCTTTCTGCGTTTGTCCTGGGACCATGGGACACGGAGTTCGTCAATTCGAACAAAAAAAGCGGGCGATCCTTTTGCATCCAGATTTCGACTTCGACGGCTGGGCGTTTTGACTATTACGACTACGGCGGGCTTTGCATGGTGGCTTAAGGAGCTTCTCCTCGCCGACTTATCACGGCGATAGATGGGAGGAACCTGCTTCTTCGGGCTGCATGTGAAGGCGCTGGGGTTGTTACTGCTGCTTTCAGATGAGATACCACTGATAGATGTTTGTTTCTGTCTACTAGAGATTCTGCATCTGAGAGCTGCGCTGCTCTCGACGTCTCGCAGCCGTGGTGGTTATGGGTGGTGCAAAGAAAAGGGCACTTTTGGGATCACCTGGACCAAATTAAAGTGAATTAGATTGCGTGAATGGAACATTTGCATTGCATGTCGGTTTTCCAACTCTTTCTTTCCCTTTCAACAACACTCGAAGTAGGTTGGCAATTTCTGCTTCATCGAATGACTCCATCCCCTTTGCCTCCATCCCTGGCAAGAATGTCTCCTGCTGGCGCTGGGTCCCCGAGACTTGCGCCTGTGCTGCTGTCTTGGACGCCAATGCCACTTGATTGTCCCCTCAGTCCATCGACACCGCCGGTCTCTTCTGACTTTCGTCCTCTGGTCTTGTCAGGTTTGTTGTTGCTCTCGCCATTTCCAGGGCCGAGTTTTCGTTTAATCCAGCCTCGGAAGCCGCCGATTGCGTTGCCGTTTGTGCGGTTCTGTTTGAATATCAGGCTGTGATTGATACTCATTGAAAAACATAAAGTCGAAAGAGACATGGCCATAACAGCAATCACAGACATGCGAACACGATATACGTTCTACGGGAAATGGTCTTACATCCGCCTTGCCCATCAACTGATCCGCCGACCCATCATTCTTCTTCAACGCAGCCATGACTTCTTCAGACTTGTGACGGGCTATTTCCGCATTCGACGAGGGCATGTTGTCGCGATCCATCATGTTGGTGTTGTGGAAGGGGCCGCCTGTGATGGAGGCGCCGGAGGAGTCGCCGTCTGCCATTATTATTTTCTGTTATTCAAAATGTGTGTTCCTGTTACGAGAGGTGGAATGGAATGGAAGGGGTGTCTACATGTTTTTTCAGCTGCTGCCGCGTCATTATTTTTAGGAAATGCGACAGCGAGGGATGAGAGTTTGGATGGTTTGACCATGTGACGTTGGCCGGAAGGATGATATCGCGTGATTTGCGGAGCTCGGGCCGGGGCGAGAGCTTCCAGGGTTGAGGAACTTCAGGTGTACCTGGCGACTTGAGTTGGAAAGCTGGTCTCTATGAACAGATTGATTTAATGCCACAGACAAACCGTCTCAGACCTCCAATCTTTCATCCACGATGTCCGCCGACGTCGTAGCCCCCGCCGTCCTCTCCTACATCGACAACGGCGCATACCCCGAATCCGAAACCGTAGCATCAGCGGACCTCTCCCCATCAACCCTACAAAACCTCAGCAAAGAGCTCCAACGCGTGCAGGAAGATGTCAAGACCGAGATCCGCTCCATAAGCCGTACCTCCTCCACCGACATCGATACTTGGATCACCCGCGCAAAACAACTCCAAGCCGATATCCTCCACAGCCGCGAAGTCGCCCGCGCGATCGTTCAGGAGTCTGAAGAGGCGCAGGAGTTGAAGCGGAAGGAGGAGGATAAGAGGAGGCAGGCTGAGTTGTTGGAGAAGGAGGTGGAGTTTCAGGAGAGTGTGGGCACGAGGTTGGAGCATGTTAGGTTTGCGAATGGGGTTTTGGGTAGGGTGAGAGAGGCGTTGGTTGAGGGGGATGTTGGAAGTGCGTTGAAGAGGTTGGAGGAGGGAGAAGAGAGTGTTGAGGGGCTTGGGGAAGGGGAGGGTGGTGTTAAGGGAGTGCTGAAGAGGAAGGTTGAGGGGTTGAGGGAGAGCGTGAAAGAGAGTGTTGGGGAGGGGTGGGGAGGGTGTGTGGCTGTTGACGTGGAGGGGAATAGGGTTGTGATCAGAGGTGAATTGGAGGGTCTTGTGGATGCTGCTAAGAGAGTTGGGTTCTTTGACAGTCAGATCGTCAAGTTGGGAAGGGAGATTGACAGGGCCATTATCAGGCCAAGGCTACAGATGAACAGAAACGGCAAAGTGATGCACATCGCCGTTGCCGAAGACAGCATTTCGTGTCAGGATCTCGACGACGATGCAAGCTCTTCGACTTTGTTCAAGGACCTCAAAGCGACGATTGCATTCCTGGCCGATCTACTACGTGCCGCGGTCGCCGTACCGCTTTCTGAGACATTGATCCCCGCCTTGACCACTCGTTTGGAAGAAGAATGGCTCGAACCATCCGTACCTCTGGAGCTCGCTGACATGCAGACTTTTCAGTCCTTACTAGGTGATGTGGTCAGCTTCGCCGATGATCTCGATCAGCTGGGATGGCATGGAAGCAAAGCACTTCGAGACTGGGTCCAAGGCGCTCCTCGAATATGGCTCACGAAACGGCGAGAGGTGCTGCTATCGGATGTTCGCAACTTGGTCTTCACAGGGCTGCGCGATACGAAAGTCGTCGAGCGTGTAGAGACGCAGTTTGTGAATAATGATGATGCGCTGGCTCAAGGTGGTGAAGAAGGCGATGATGAGTGGGACACCGCATGGGATGAGCCTGAGGAAGAGCTAGCTCCGGAAGCACAACAAGCTCACACTGAAGACGATGACGATGCGAGTGCTTGGGATCTTCCTGAGGAGGAGGAGGAGGAAGCTCCGAAAGAAGCGGGTGCAGACGAGGACGAAGCTTGGGGGTGGGGTGATGGTGATGAGGCAGCACCAGAGAAGCCCGCCAGCCCCAAGGCAACTAAGAAGGAAGCGCCCAACGTCAATGGCCAAGGCACGACCAAGCCTTCTCAACGCGAACTTACCCTCCGCGAGACGTTTACTGTCACGGCGATTCCGGACAGTATACTCGATCTCGTTCAGCAAGTTATCGCCGACGCCGGTATGCTATCTACCATAGAGTACAGCGGTACACCAATAGCGCCTGCAGCCCAGGCCCTTTACACCTTACCCACACTGGCCTTGGCAATCTACCGCGCTACAGCACCCACTGCCTACGCCAAGCTAGGAACAGGCAACATGCTGATCTACAATGACGCCTCTCGTCTATCAGACCAATTGCGCGCCTGGCAAGCCTCTCAACCTTCAGCCTCACGACTACGACTGGATAACGACGTCAAAGCACTCGACCAGTTCGCCAAGCGAGCATATGGCACAGAAATGGAATCACAACGAACAGTCCTGCGAGATCTGCTTGACGGCGCGCAAGGCTTCAGCAATTGCACCACCCTGCCCTTCAAAAAAGAATGCGAAAGTGCTGTTGAACAAACCGTCGACCGCCTGCGGGAAGTCTACAAAATGTATCAGCCAATCCTCTCCAACAGCGCCCTCCTCCAATCCATCGGCAGCCTACTGGCAACCGTTACGGGCAAAATGATCACCGAAATCGAAGACCTGCCCGACATCTCCGAAGCCGACTCGCAAGAACTCAAAGAACTCTGCGATCGAGTCCAAACCGCCAAAGATCTCTTCCAACAGCAAGCCGAAGACGGCGGCGAGGCCAGAGATATGACGTTCATCTACTGTCCGAACTGGCTCAAGTTCCAGTATCTGGGCGAGTTGATGGACAGCAGTCTGGCAGATATCAAGTATCTGTGGAATGAAGGCGAGTTGAGTTTGGAATTTGAGGCGGAGGAGGTTGTGGGTTTGGTTGAGGCGCTTTTTGCGGAGAGTGGATTGAGGAGGCAGGCGATTCAGGAGATTCGGAGGGGTGGGAGGAGATGAATGAGGAGTGGATGGGTGGGTGGCACGGCTAGTTGGGGTGCGCGGCAGACCTGTCAGGACCACAGGTTATGCGTTACTTGTGGAAGGTGTTGTACCCATGGTGCATTTTCCAAACGCGGCTGTAGATAGCGAGGATGTGTTTATGAGTGGCTCTCGATGAACAACAGGTGTCGTGCAGCTAGCTCATGTTTGAAAAGCACGAAAGGTACGGACACCTTTCCCAGCAACCGTCGTGCCGGTACTTGTTCCAGACCAATCTACCAAAAGCGAACGGGTGTATCGTCAACGATTCTGTATGGACAAGGACTGTCGTACAGCTAGCTAACGTCCTCGTCGGCCGTCGCACGGCTTCATGGGCCGAAAAGAATCAGCGCACTCGTGAACGTGTCCGGTGGCAATAGTTCTGTATGGAGGTGAGATGTCGTGCAGCTAGCTGAGGTTCTTGAACAGGGGTGCGAAGTTGAGACCACCCATCCCAGCTGTCCAGTCGTTGAGCTAGCAGCCTCTCACACATCAAGTCCCATGTGTGGTGCATGCACCGACCCAAAGGCGTTTGCTCGAACGATCAGGAGGTGTGCAAACGTTCATACGTGGGTGGAAGACGTTGTGCGGCTAGCTGATGTTTGAACACACGTTCTTCACTGCCCATCTCTTGCCTGGCTTGGCTATGTTTCCTCGTCAAGGTGGAGGTGGAAGAGCAGTTTGTGTTGGTCGGATGGGGTGGGCAGCTAGTTGATGTTCGAGAACACACTGGAGCGGAAGGCCGTCTCGGAGTTGCTGTTAATCAAGAACATGGCCAGACTTCGTGCTCAGACCCAACATAAGAAGGTAAGGGCCTCTGCTGTTGATCGAGTAGAACGCAGTTTGTGCCGACGAACGCCGCTGGCTGACAAGCTCTTAAAAGGAATAGCCTGGTGTCGTCGTCGGAAACGACTAATAGCACGGCCTCACATCCAAGTATGACGAGCAATTCTCGCCAATGCACTAATGAGTAGAGCGATACATACTTATGCGAATGGAATCTTGCATGTAGCATGCGTTTTTGTTCAATGCAGATACATGAGGCTGTAACATATGCGTAATTTCTAAGCAGGCTAAGTAGACGAAGCGGCTGCTTCGAAGAATCAGGCTAGCAGTCAGATGAGTTTTATGCGACTTAGTAAGGGTGTTTTCTTAGCGGACTTTTGCCAAACATCATTTGCACCAGCAGGTTAGACCTAGATGACATGAAAGAGTATCCAAATATCCTATTGATTTGTCAATCAATTGTCATGGGGCATAAGCAACCATCGAAGCGAGTCTCCAATGGCACAATGCGAATTGATCTAGATCTATAAATGATACATCTACTGTCTTGAAACGACTGCATCAAGCACTTGTGAAACCAAGACCCAAACATGGCGCCTTCAAAATTGACTGTGACGCACATCACCATCGCGACAACCATCCTCAATGTCGACGGTATCAAGTTCCTAACAGACCCCTTCTTTGGGCCTCAAGAAGGCAGCAGCTACGATAACACGGCTCAGTTCGAAAAGCATCACCTGAGCAACTTGGGTTTGACAAGCATCCCGCCTCCCCCTCACTTTGTCAACACGGTTGGGCCGGCCCTAAGACTGGATGAATTGCCTCCAATCGATGCAATCCTGCTGAGCCACGAGGATCACATCGATAACTTGGATTCCGAAGGTCGAAAGCTCCTGGATGGCCGGAAGGTCTTCACGACTGTTGAAGGAGCAACTAACCTACATCCAAGCCCTGGTGTCGTTGGTATTCGTCCTTGGGAGACGATTACATCGAATATCGGAGGTAAAACTTTTCGAATCACCGGCACGCCATGCAAACACTTCCCCGTCGGCGAAGTAACAGGCTTCATCCTCGAGACCGAATCATTCGGCCTCCACTCGTCCGGCAAGCCGAACGCAATATGGTTCTCGGGCGACATGGTCTACATCGACGAACTCAAGGAGATCGGGCAGAAATGGCACATCACCGCTGCCCTACTGAATCTTGGTAATGCTACTGTCGAGTTCCCCGTCGGCAAGTTCAAGATCACGATGGATGGCAAGGATGCGGTACGGATCACGAGGGACATTGGCGCGGATGTTATGATTCCTGTGCATTTTGAGGGGTGGGAGCATTTCACTGAGGGGAGGGAGGAGTTGAAGAAGGGTTTCGAAGAAGACGGGTTTGAGGAGAGGGTTTGCTGGACGACTCCTGTTGTGCCCAAGGAAGTGTATTAGTTGTTCCTTAGTTATTTCAAAAGTAACAGTCATTTGTTGTCGTGATCAGCGCCGCGTGTTAAACTGCGAGCGACTTGCTATCGGCGCCCTGTATTTTGAAGAATTGTGTGTATGCTGACTTCAGTTGACATTCTCTTGAATATGATCTCGTTGGTAGCCACCAAATGAGCGCATTTGCCAGATCAAATTGCATATAGCGAAGACGTATCGAAAGAACACGGCTAGGAGCAGGAAGTGTGAGTACATTTAGCGAAGGGGGGGAATGGTTCGTATTCAAAAGTGCGCCTACATAACTGGCATTGCTTGAGCGCAGAGTCTGTCGCATACTACAAGTTCTGTACACGTCCCAATACAGGGTCTTGGTGCCCTGAAACTTGTTTACTTTGGATGATCAATGTCGTGCAGCTAGCTGATGTTCCCAGATTCGTGGGTCGATAGCTGTGTCACCCACCCTGTGTGCATTTACCAGATCAAGCCGTCTACAGAGAATAGGCACTATGAACACGATTTTCGTTGGTTCAAAACAATGTATAGCTAGTTGATGCTCGAATTTTCAGAATCTCGACACCCGCGTCCACTTTGAGTGCATTTGCCGGATCAGGCTGTGTACAGCGAGCAAGTTTAATAGCATGAATTCTGTTTGGCTAGGAATTTTATACAGCTAGTAGACTCACATTTATCCTGTTTCTTGCCGCGTACGCGTACCCTCTTACTTCGCATTATGTACCAGTATCCTGCTGATCTCGATGCCAAGCATTATTTGTGCTGGGGTTCTGAGCCCAAATACCGTCGTTGATACGACGACAGTGAGCTCTAATGCTATTGTGAGGCTCCTTTCAACAAATCGGCAAGCTAAAGACCACTATACGTATCCTGTACATGGCTATAGCTCCAACGATCCTCCGCGCCAAGCCCCAGCTGTAACACAGCCTTGTCCAAACCTTGGATCAGTGGCACGACATGTACGCTCAACTCCTACTACAACTAGCGAAGTACATGTACACCACTGTAGGTCAATCGAAGTAAAATTGGCTAGTGAAATTCTCGATCAGGTTGCTAGCGCGCTGTGGCGGATGTTCTTTGGTACTGACAGGAGCTAGCCGTATTACAGCCTCGTCCAAGGATTGAACAGTTCCTCCCTTGATTATCTTGAGGCTTCACTTAATCTCTCATTCGAACCTTCGCTCTGGAACCCGCTTTGGGCTTCACTCTGCTTACTCAAACTTTGGCATGGATCCTCACTTAGTAGCTCCCTTTGGGCTTCGCTCCTCTTTTTCAAACTCTTAGTTTATTCCTCACTAGAACTCTTACCTAAACCCTGACCTGGTCGCCCAGTTGAAGGTGCAAGTGAAAATGCTACACGTTGCTATGCAGGAGGTGGGCAACACGATATCTAGCACAGTCTTCGTCTTACCTCCGAATCCTGTTGTTAGCATGCCTAGAGTCCTCATTTCAGGGAGACAGCTGTTCTCCGTGTAAAATCTCACCAATCCAACACAGCCTAGTCATCTAGTTCATCATACACTTCACTGCTGTCATCGCTAGACTGCGTTGCTCTAGTAGACTTGCAGCCCAGGTAAGTCATATACATACTAGCCCCTGCACTCAACTACAGCAAGTGGGTGTCGAGGAAACGATCTCGTCTCGCACAAGAGTTGTGCAGCTAAGAATTGCCACAAGTATGTACTACAGTGTGCATTTACTCGATCAAGGTCTCTCAAGTGAGCAAGTGTAGTTGCACTGACCCCTGATTAGTTGAAAGGGGTCGTGCAGCTAGCTTATGTTAGGTATCAGACTGTGGCGGCAAAGTTGCTTCCTTATTGGACAGTCGAAGCAACGCATTTTGATGTTTTGCGCAACGCGAGTTGTCCCCGGACATAGGCGGTGGTGGTTCAGCTCGGGGCAGAACAAGCCTCAGGTCTTCAGGAGTTCGGCTGTGGTCAGTCTGTAACACGATGTCCATCTTTCAAGGATTTGACATGTTGTTGCTTACACCTGAACGACTGATATTTGGTCCTACTTATGCTCTTAGCAACTTGTGGAGATGGAGGTCTTTGGGCATTTTGGGGTGGGAGACAACAAGTGGCATCCCATCCCACGAAATCAAAGACCCTGACCATAAAGTATTCCCAAACTCCTTGTTGCTCCATCCTGCAGCCAGTCAACTCGCGACATTCGAGGCCACCGGTGAGAGTGAGCTTGAGACTGATAGAAGCAATTGCACCCTTGTTGAACCACTTAAGTTGGATTGAGTCGCAATCTCCCCGATCATCCAGAAGCAGCCCGGCCCCTGACGGCACTTCGTGCTGTTGAGACAGCCTGCGAGTAATGAAGAATCATGGCTCTCGTACGAAAAGCTTCTTGACGATCGTATCGGTAGCACTGTTGCTGCTTCCCGAAACGCTGCTTTCTGCAAGCCTGATCATGTGAGGTGTGCGTGACGAGTCAGAGTTCAATCCAGGTACTTAAGCACACATCCATATAGATCTTGTTCTCGCACCACCATTCATCGATTCACTGAAGTGTTTGAGTACGTAATCCATTACTTCTAATGCAGAGTAGTTGACAGAGTAGCAATACAGACTTGTACTATCATCCCGAATTAAAGCCCCTCGTCTCCTTCCCAAGAACAACATTAAGACCAGAGCAAGCCTTGCAATCATACATCAAGTTCAAGTAGGCACATCCCGAAAAGGCATTTCGCCAAGGTCGTCCTTCTGGCCTTGATACGTCCTTTTCCGTTGGATCATCTCGGCGACAGCGATGTCGGAGTAGTCCACGACATGCCAGACCAGAGTAGGGTTCTCATGGAACTCGAGGGACTCGATGTTGGTGTATTGTCCTTCCGTGATGGTCACCTCGTCCAAGAGTTTGTGTCCAAGCATCTCTTGCCTCTTGTGCTGTCCCAGGAAGAACGCAATGCCTGAGCTGGCATCCGTGGCCAGAAGAGCATAGAGACACCTGTGACAGGTTTGTTAGTGGAAGAACCAATGACAAACTGCGAGCTGAATATACCAATGTCCCATCTTGAACTTCTCTGTGTCTGGGAATCTCGGCATATTGGTATTACCACGACGTTCTTGCAGGCACCGCTTGATGATGCTGTGGACGTCCTGCTTGTTGGTATCCGCCGGGATGCCCTCGACCACGATCCAGTTCAGGAAGCCCATCATTTGTGGCAGATTCTTTTTGTTGATTGCTCAATATGCATTTCCCAATATCTTTTTCCAGCCGCCCGTCGGATAGGCGTCGTTTGCACCATGTTTCAAAGTATCATGCATTCTTTTCCAGGTGAGTTACACCACGTCTGACCAGTAGCGATGCATAGGGAGCTTGTCCTGTGGTCGGTTCGGGGCCATCTTTCGCGGGCTGATACCGCGAGACACGACTATGACGCCGTCGACAACGTTGAACCAATTGTGGTAAAAGGCACCTGTTGCCTCCATCTGCTCTCCCTCGTACCGTTCATAGCTTGATTGGAGCCGGTAAGCAATGTCCTGCAATTGCGAATAGCCGAGATTGGCACCATGTGGATAGACAGCGCCATTGACATTGCGTTCGTTGTCCCACTCTGCCCCCGAATTCTTGCCGACCTTGAGGTTCTCCAATATTGGTCGGATTGGGCCGAACGAGCCTTCCATTTGTGCACTGTTCTCGCCTCCTCGCCATTCCCGCTCGATGGCGTTTGTCCGGGGAGCCGCGCGCTGCCAACCCAGACCCTCGGGATCGGCTCCCAGTTTGCCCGCCACGAAGCTGTTGAAAGAGTTGATGTTCATGGGATTGGCGACTCCGCCTGGGCCCTCTGCCCCAGGAGGATCGAGTTTCAGAACGAGCAGACGGCTGAACCACTTTCTGCCTTGGTTCTCGTACTTATGGATCAGAGCATTATCAGCAGGGTCAATTTTCCCCCAATCTGGAGGGTTTCTCCTCAGAATCTCCCCCGTCAATTCCCCCATCGACCTTTCCAGCAGCCCAGAACCATTGAGAGTCCCGGGATAGCCAGGGAAAAATTCGAAGTGAGGTTCGTAGGAAGGGCATAGGTGAGGGCGCTCAGCGCCAGCAAGGTGAAGATGGGTTTGAAGGGCATTTTCGTGAAGTTTGTCCTGCCCATATCAGTATCAGTATCCAGCGCTGTATCAGGGGCCTGGGGAAGGGTATACTCACCTGGGAATGGTAGTTTGGTATGGGAGAAGGGAAGGAGGTTGGAGGGAGAAGGAAGCGCTTCTTTTAAAGGCCGCTGGGCGCGAGTAGGCGTGATCATATCACTTGGGTTTGGGGGAGGACAACTCATCCCCGTGGTCATCCCCGTGGCTCTGCTGGCGATCGTGCCAACGATGTGGCCTCATGAGCAGGGTCGGGTGTGTTGGCACGGGGATAGCTGGCAGTTGGCAAACATAACCTGGGTCAAACGATAGGGATTTGAGGCGGCTACTCGTCTGTGCGCTGTATGGGAGAGATAGGTCACTTGCCTTCAAAGTGGTATGCATTTCAAACGTTCTCATGATAAGCCTATCCTCGTCACTACTCGTCCGAGTGATCCCCCACCGCAGACGCCATCATCGCTCAATGCATTCAAATGACCAACTAGTCCCAGTGCACCTGTCTACTCCACCTCCACAGCAACAGGCTGACTCCGCTCAGGCGCATTTCTCTGCCGCATGTTCGGTCGGTAACCCTGACCATTCTGCACGCCCTGACCGGTCACCTCAGCCTCCTTCTCCTTGATGAACTCCTCCTTTTGCTGGCGAATGACTGCCAGCACATTCGTCAAGCTGCTCCGCCACGTCTCCAACCGGCTTGCCACCTCCCGCCATTGTGTGTCGCTGAAGACTCGGTATGTGCTGCGGTGGATGAGGAACTCCTGCTTCTGCTGGGAGAGCTTGCCCTCGATGAGTCCGCTGCGGATGCAGTCGATGACCCACATCTCGACATCTTCGGTGGGCACATTGAGCGCCTTGGCGATTTGGGCATATGGAAGGGTGCGAGTGTGGGCGTTGTGGGCAGCGAGCGAGGCGAGGGTAAGCTGGCGCATCTTCTTGTCCAGAATGTCCTCATCGAGTTCGTTATCTGGAAGGAAAGAGTCGTTGGCCTCCTTGAAGTCCTGGAACTCCTCGTAGTCCTCGCGGACGAACAGTTCGAGAAGCTCTGCCCAGGTTGCGTCAGACTTTCGCAGTGCTTGGATGCTGTCAAGTGCGGTGAGGTCTTGGAAGTCGAAGTGCTTCTCGTTGTGGAGGGCCAGCTTCAGGGCACGAATTGAGAGCTTGCTGGCCTCATCAGATGAAGCATCGCTTTGAATAGTCTTGAGGGCCTTGAGGAGATAGTAGTAGCTCTGTTCAACCTCCTTCGAGGCGGCCGCTGCATCTGAAACGGCCAGGTACAGTTTTCGTGCCTCCGTATCCTCGAGCTCCCACTCTTGTACCCACTTATCGACGTTCTTCAGCTGCGGCTGCAGCGTATCCCAGTTGCCAGAGCTCTTGATCACATCGACGATACCGAGCAGGACGTTGTATCGCGTCGAGTCATCCGGTGGGAGGGTGTTGAAGAGGGTGCTCAGAATGCCGAGCGCAATGCCCGTGCCGTTTTGTGGTGAAGAGGTGATGGGTGCGGTCATGTACGAGCAGATTCTGGCGATGAAGATGTCGGGCTCCTCGACTTGTGAGATGAGGTGTATGAGGAGGTTGTAGGCGGCTTGCAGTTCTCGCTCTGGGGCGCCATTGAGGATAGAGCTGGCACCGACCAGTTTCTTCAGCACTGCGACGCGGTCGGTCTCTTCAGGCCTGTCTGATTTCTCGGGATCGGCGAGGAGGGGGATGATTTCGTCGGCGAGCTTCGAGCCCTCGCCTTTGGCATTATCGAGGTAGTTTGCGAGTTCGAGAGACAGCTCTTCGAATGCGCCCTCCACAAGGGAGAGCTTTGGAAAGCTGGGCATGCCGGGTGGTGGTGCTATCTCGTGCCTCGCTCTTTTCTCGAATCAGTCGCGTGGGGTCGAAGTCGGCGGTGGCAAGATCGGTGCTGGTGGTGTCGCTGTTCCTACACTTCGCGATCACGGGCGCCAGGTGTAGCAGTCGGTTTCGAGGATTTGGAGTGGTGGATTGAAGTCTCGAGTTGCTGCATGTGTCGCTAGCGTCCTGGTAGAATATTTCGAAGACGTGAGGTGGGACATGCAATCTTGGCATCGAATGAGGCAGGTCTAGCGACTACCCAAAATATTGATTATAATTCTTAACCAAACCCCAGTAATCCCTCGCTGACCGATCCAACGTGTACAAAACCAGCTCGCCTGCTCGTCTTCTCCTGAAATCTACTCTCGAACATTTGAGTCTCAATTTGTGGCGACTTTCTATGGCACTCACCAAACCAGCTGCGTCAACACGTGCGCAAGTTGCAGCCACTGATGACCAGTCTCCCATGTGAAGTTGGAGTCGAGCAGTGAAGGTCTTGTGGCATGCATTGCAAGCTGATACCGATTCGCCATTTCCGGTGCGGCCCATCGAGAGCAAATACTGGCCTACTTGAACCGCTCACTGGTGTCCTGGCTTCAAGCGTGTTTTGCATGTGAGGACCAAGACCTCCATTCCCAAAAGACGGACCGGCCACATCACTGTGCCGACCGCCTGCCGTTTGCAGAGATGGACTTCAGAGCATATTCCCCTCTGGACCGCCATCGCTTTCACTTTGGACTCGAAAGGGCTGATAATGCTGCTTCAAAAGAACCTTGCGGTCTGTGATGTTTGCTGGCGGTCAACTTCGACACACCATTCGGCTCAGTACTCTTGAGAGTTGGAGATGATCTCTGGAGAAATGTTCAGCCCATAGATCATGTGTTGCAGTCCGCACGGTGATAATGCATCGATCGGCCTTTGGCGTTCCAGATGAGCGGTCTTTTGCCGCAACCCGGCATGGCTTGCAGCCACGATCAACAACTCGCTCGGAGCTTCCACGGGGTCCAGCCACTAAAACTACACCTCCTCTTTATGCTCGGCCAGTCCGCTGTAGAGAGGCACTGCTGCTACCATCTGGCTTGCATAACCGGCTGCATTGAACACTCTGCCGAAATTCGTGATAGAAGACGGCGGCGGAGGCTCTCCGATTTTCCGACTCATCACGCGGCTGGCTGTAGTACATACGCGAGGAGAAGCTCTTCCGCCTCGACGTCGTGTGAACCTGTGGAAAGTCTTGGTGTTTCCATTCTATTGTCTATTCACCAATCGTCGTTACTTGCACCATTGGAGCGTGCAGGCTGTAACAAGCCACCGATTCGAGCTTCGATCTAGTGACAGTTCACCAGCAACAGCAGCCTGGCGGACCATCGCGCGTTTTGGTTGGCTCCGCCATTTGCGAACTGCGCCAAGGTAAGCACTCTATGAGCTTGTATCAACATTCACGGCCAGAAGAGAAAGCTCGGGACAACCTGATACTGAGGCGAGGCTATGTCCGATTAGCTAACCTACAAAGATACGAGATTCGCAGCATGGCTGCTCCCAACCACACCGTACTGCCAACACCAGGCTTCCTAGGAGGCGACCTGCCCGAGACCGAACGTACAGCCTACCAAGAGGGTCACGATGTGGACTTCTCCTCAAGCGATAGTGTCGTGCGAGTTGAACAACTAGCTCAGTCTCTGGTGAAACCACCAAGCGCCTTGAGCAAGGATGCCGAATTGGAAAAAAGCGAACCACACGAGCGATCAGACACGACCACATTGAACGACGATCCGAACAGAGACCCAGAAAAGGCAGGCCCAACTACCACTACAACCGAGCAAGATCCGAACATTGTGTTCTGGGACGGCGACGACGATCCTGCAAACCCTATGAACTGGTCGAACGGCATGAAATGGGGCAACATCGCCTGCCTGTCCGCGCTCACGTTCCTCACACCACTCGCCTCGTCGATGTTCGCCCCAGGCGTGCCGCAGGTCATGCGCGACTTCAACACCGAAAGCCAAACATTGGCAACATTCGTTGTCTCAATCTACGTTCTCGGCTTCGCCTTCGGCCCTCTCATCATTGCGCCCATGTCAGAACTCTACGGCAGGCTCTGGGTCTATCACATCTGCAATATCGGCTTCATCGCTTTCACCATTGCTTGTGCAGTGGCGCGTAACATGAGTGCTTTGGTCGTGTTCCGATTCTTGCAAGGTGTTTGGGGCGTTGCGCCGATTACAATAGGAGGCGGCACGATTGCGGATTTGATGGCGCCGGAGAAGAGAGGGGGAGCGATGGCCATTTGGGCAATGGGACCTTTGCTCGGGCCTGTTATCGGGCCTGTTGGTGGCGGCTTCTTGAGTGAAGCCAAGGGTTGGCGGTAAGTCTTGACTTCCTGTCCCGTCGACAGCATAGAGCAAAGAGTACTGATTCGAAGTAGCTGGATCTTCTGGGTCATCGCCATCGCAACCGGTGGAATCGCCATTATGGCCGTCGTCTTCCTCCGCGAGACATACGCCCCTGTTCTCCTCGAGCGAAAGACAAAACGCCTACAAAAGGAAACCGGCAACACGAACCTCCGCTCCAAACTCGACAACGGCCTCTCCCCAAGACAGCTCTTCATCCGAGCCATCGTCCGCCCGACGAAACTCATGTTCCTGTCCCCAATCTGCGCGCTCATGTCCCTCTACATGGCAGTAGTATACGGCTTCCTCTACCTCCTCTTCACGACCTTTACATTCGTTTTCGAAGACAACTACGGCTTCTCTTCATCCACCGTCGGCCTCGTCTACATCGGCCTCGGAATCGGAAACTTCATCGGTCTGGGAGTCCTAGGCTTCACGTCTGATAAAACCATGACATACCTCGCGCGGAAACACAACGACGGCGTCATCAAGCCAGAGTACCGCCTCCCTCTCCTCATGTACGTCGGTCCTTTCCTCCCTCTCGGCCTGCTCATCTACGGCTGGACAGCGCAATACCACATCCAATGGGCGGTGCCTCTTCTCGGTACGCTCTTCGTTGGTGTGGGCTTGATCGCTTGCTTCATGTGCATCAACACATACCTGGTTGATACTTTCACGCTCTATGCCGCCAGCGCCATGGCCGCCAACACGATTCTGCGGTCGATCTTTGGCGGCGTCTTCCCGCTCTTCGGACTGCAGATGTATCAGGGGTTGGGGTTAGGTTGGGGGAACAGTTTGCTTGCATTCGTTGCGTTGGCGCTATGTCCCATTCCATGGGTTTTCTACAACTACGGCGAAAAAATTCGCACGCATCCGAGGTTTCAGATCAAGTTCTGATGATTTGCGAGTGAGCGGTTCGTCTGGGAAGCGAGGCGTTCGGACGGGAAATGTCCTTTCAAAAGGTGCAGCTATAGTGAGGCCGTACAGCAGCTTCTGGAACATAGCATTTCTGTCAGTGGCTATGTACATACATTGTCCCAAGGCATTCCACCGGGCCCGTTGGCCTATTCGTCTGTCGTAAAATACTTTTGCCATCTCCGTCTTCATCCCCAGACCAACGCTTCTAGGCTCCGTGGCTGAGCCTGGGCTCTGGTTTGCGAGGGACGCTCGACCTGCCACCAATGTCGCGAATCATCGTGCTGGGCAATATTCGCTTCTACGCAGTAACGCCCAAGGCGAGTCCGTAAAGCCGTCCGCTCTCACTCCCACTCTGCAAAGATTTTCTCCACCTCCACCCCAACCCTTCATTTCCCCTTCCTACTCCTCACCTTCCTATCCCTCCTCTCCCTCCCATCCCTCGCCGCCTTCCTCTCCTCCATCCCCTCCTTCCCCTCCTTCCCCGCCTTCCTCTCCTCCTTCGCATCAACCTCCTCCAACCACTCCCCGGGCCCATCATCCCGCCCACTCCCAGGCTTATACCCATACTTCGCGACCCACTCACCCTTACCCTCATCGAACTTCAACTTCCCATCCCGCTTCTTCGGCTTAATCCCCTTCTTCTCCGCGAACCGCTCCCACTTCGTCTTCTCTTTCTCTTTTGGGACGTGCTTTTCGCGCGGGAGCGCGGTTTCGGGTGTTGGGAGGGTGATTTGCAGGGCGCCGTCGGGGGCGCGGGTTATGGGGCAGGCGGTGAGGAGTTGGTTTATGAGGGATTGGGCGCAGCCGCGGGCGGTTTGTTGGAGGGTTTCTTCTTTTGTTGCGGTGGTGTGGGAGGGGAGGGGGTTGGGGTCGATGACGAGCATGTGCCCGAGATCGAAGGTGTATGGCTGCGCTTTTTGGTCTGTGGTGGTCGCCATGGTTTGTGGGTTGGTCTTGTGAGGCGAGATGGGTGGGTATCTGCAGACAACTTTTTTGAAAGCAAGTCGAAGTCTTGAAATCTTGGCGACAGGGACTGATGGCGCTAGTGGGATGGCGTGAACCTTAATTAGTTTGACCTCACTTCGCCCTCGCCCTCCTCTTCTCCACAACAGGCTCGACATGGACATTCTTATGGATTGACTAGCAGTTATGGGTCAAGGTTCTACTTTCGCTGCCTACCGTCGAGCAACACTCATATGTGGTACGAAGCAACTTGGAACGTTTGTTTGCATAGATGGACTAGGAGTGATTGAGATGTTGTCTTCAGTCATTCGCAGCATCAACACCATCATGCCTTCGCGACGCCATCCAAACGATTCTGATCCATCCTCTGTCGACCAATCTCCGCCGCTTCACGCACGACCTTGAATCCATATTCGACCATGCTGGTCTGATACGCAGCAAGTTCGGCTGCCAGGCTTCCTTCGCCATTCGCCAATCTCTTGAGATGTCGTCCAAGTAAAGCACCGTGTCGCATTGCTAAGTTGGCTCCTAGGCCAAGCTATGGAGTCATCGAATGGACTGCATCTCCCAGCAGTGTGACGTTGACTGGCCTGTCGAGAGCATTCGGCACACTTGTGCGCATGCGAACAGCGAAGAACGACTCAGAGCCTCCCGCCTGAATCAGAGCAGCGGCGTTGCCTGACCATCCACCAAGGAGACCCGCAGCTATTCTCTGGAGTTCAGCCGATGTGGCTTTGCGTATGTCTTCAGGAAAGAACTCATGACGGCCACCGACGAGGCAGACCACATAGCTTTCGCGATGGTGCAGCTCGACACCTAGGCCCAGTTTTTTTGCAGCCTCGTCGGGTGATGTTGGGAAGATAACAGATCCTAGGCCAAGGAAAGCCTTACGCTCGTCCGATGCGATAAGAAAAATGTCCTCGACAGCTTCTTTCGGACCCATCTCCTTGACAGCGTCGACCGGCAGGCGGCCATAGATGGCCGTAATACCTGCATCCATCGTGGCGAGGTTGGGAGCACGCTGAAGACGCACATGCGAATTGACTCCGTCAGCTCCCACCAGGCACGATCCCGTGGCGCTGGTGCCGTCCGAGAAGTAGGCAGTGACCTTATTCTCGGCATTGATCTCGTATCGCTCGAGCTTCTTCTGAAAATGGATCGAGTCATCCAGGCCGGACAGTAGGATCTGGCGCAGAGTAGCTCGGTCGACGTTGGCGTGCACTGGTGTTTCATCCTCTGTGGTCGGCCAAACGCCATTTCCCAGGTCGTCCCTGGTCAGCAGACGTTTGACGACCCGCAGCTCGGGCGTCATGATGCTTGTGAATGGTTTCGTCAATTGAGAGGTTTCCTTGAACAGCATCTGGAGTTCTGGACTGAGCACTTCCTGCACGGTATTGATAGCATCGGCATCGAGATGCAACCTTTACCCTTGTGGTCGATCGAAAGGCGTGTTGTCACGTTCATATATCTCGAACGAAATCTTCGCTAGGCGAAGTGATTGCGCGAGGCTGAGTCCGCCGAGACCCGATCCGATGATGAGGACTTTCATGTTGGTTGATAATCTTCGTTGGGGACCTGGGAAGTTCCTTTTACGAACTCAGCGCTGATGGCACGTTGTACAGGTTTCGATCGAACTGTGGGAACTCCATTCCGCTACCTCTTATATTTTCCTGGACTATCATCCTCAAACACAACTGATAACTCTGAAAGCCCGATATCGAAGAGAATACTTTGCGATCCGCACGAAAAATGTCCATGTTTCCAGAGTCAGGAGCCACAGAGCAAGGATTTTGGCAGCCGTGCCACTGCATCGAGCCGGGTATATCGGGTATTCGTTCAGACCCGAAGGATCAAAATCCCCCCGGACCAGCGTCGCGTTTGATTCATCACGACATGAAAAATTCCAGACAACGCCAACTGCTAAAACAATGAATAGATTGTCGGTATAGCAGATGTCGACACCGTATGTGAGGCTCTAGGCGGGACAGTAAAACGTCCTGGCGAAGGGCTGAGGTCATCCCTGAGACAAGCGCACGAGCCATGTAAACAAAGATCCTTCAAGCCCGCTTCGCAAGGCAGCTCTTTTTCGGCCATCACATAAGCCAGCCATATCGTAACATCCGATAACCTTTGCCTCTAAGGCATCAACTTTCCACCCACTAATGATGCAGGAACAAGATTTTCTAGGCCCAATGCCGTCGTTGCTCGGCCTACGGATCCGTTTCATCCGCGCTCCTTTATGATTTAGCCATGGTATACATCCATTCTGTCTTGCGCACTGACAGCGCCATTGATCCATGATGGAGTTGGTGAACTGGTGGAACTAGGCATCGAGAACAATGCATAGCAACCACTTCAGGCACCCAGCAATTGTTCAGGCGGTCGAATTGTCCGCTAGGTATTTGAAGACATTGGCCTTGCACATGGCAAACCCACTCAAGCGAGCACCGATATAGCAAGCTCAATATCAAACTTGCACAAAACTACCCACTTGACCCCGACCATCAATGCCATCCCGCAACCAAGAGAATCTCTATCGCGACAGACTCTTCGGCGGCGACACTCCCCCAAAACAACCTGCAACCAAGCCAGAGACGACCATGTCGACATCCAGCACGGACAAGGAAGGGTACCCCTTCAACAGAGACGCTTTCGCCTCGACTCGGCTGAACCTCCAACACCAGCTCTTCATTTGCTCCACAGGCTACCACCTGCACTCCAAGGTCGCCGTTCCTCAAAACGCCCTGGTAGCCGACATTGGCTGCGGAACCGGTATCTGGTCCCTCGAGGTCGCTAAACAATTGCCAGTGGGTAGCAAACTCGAAGCCTACGATCTGAGCCTTGCCCAAACTCCGCCTACGCAATGGTGGCCGAGCAATGTCACCTTCTCCCAAATGGACATCTTCGCCGACATCCCGCAGCATCTGCAAGGCCGTTACGACGTCGTCAATATCCGCCTGTTCATGTGCGTCGTCCAGTCTGGCGATCCCATGCCTCTTCTTCGCAACTTGATGAAACTGCTCAAACCGGGTGGGTACCTGCAGTGGCAGGAATACGACCCATCGACGGACAAAGTCGTGTGCGCGGACCCCAACACTTCTGCCCCAAAACTCGACATTCTGCGTGCTGCGATCCGTGGTCCCGCGGGCAATCAAGCACACATCCTCAAGGACCACTGGGTGCCCAACTTGCACACCCGCTTTTCCGAAGCCGGTGGTGCGCTGATGGCGCACGAGAAGGTCTGGACTCCGAATGAGTACGTCACCATCAAGCAGGATGTCACGTTCTTGGCTGTGCGAGAGTGGATTGCGAATATGAGGGTTAAGGAGCCTGGTAGTGAGGGTGCCACCAAGTTGGAGAAGATGGTGGCTGACGTGGAGGAGGAGTGCTGGAAGTTGCAGCGCGGGACTTTCGCGGACTCGGAGATTGTGACTTGGGTCGTCAGGAAGAACTAAGTGGGTGGGGGGAGAGGCTTGGGAAAGAGGTTGTGACTTTTGCGCAGAATGCAACGTTTGTTGGGATATATCTGTGGTTTGATCGAGTAGGCAGGTTCAACACTGTCAAGCAATGGAGTTAATGTTTTCCGATGCTGATGTCCTTGTGTTTTGCTAGGTCCGTGTGACGAGGACGGAGACACATAATTGCTAGCTTGCTGTGCAGATTGCTGATGGCGCCTGTCAGAACGCTCATGAGGTCTTCGAGTAGCGTGCACTCTTCCTGTGTGACCACGCTTGCTTTGGTGCAATGTTTGCTCTGTGCTCAAGGAGGTATAAAAGTTCGATCTTTCTACCTGCAGCCTTGACCTCACAACACCCCTTGAGATCCATACTTGCAGCCTGGACTTCCCGACATCCCTTGAAATCCGTACCTGAAAACTCTGCATCCCTTCAATGGCCGACTCGCTCAAACGACCAAGATGGAGAATACGAAGGCCGGGTGAACGGAGCCAGGCTACTATGAACGACTCTGAGAAATCGATTCAAACTCCCAACGACGGGAACGCAGTGAAAGGAAAGGCAGAGACACAGACAGAAGAAATTGACATGGCCGCGCTACAAGAAGCAGCAGAGCAGCACGACAGCATTCTGGGTAAGTCGATGACGGCTTTCACTCATTGACAATATCAGGCTTACCGTAGAGAAGATCTGGCGCAGAAACTTGAATCCATGCTTCAAACTCAATGTCTGTCGGAAGACTACATTCGCAGAATGCTTGGGCTACCACCACAAGACCCTGACAGAATCGCCCTGGCCTACACAAAGACTGCCAATATCTTGAATCCGAAGGGCGACATCACGAAGAGTCTCCTGGAAAGCTTCAGGTTCTCTTCATGGTGGGGAGGTTGGTCCGCTCAGTTCTTGCTTGTAGTGCCACCTGCCACAACCGACAAGATTTCTCCGGCGTCGTATGCAGCTGCGAACCTCTACCAAAATCTATCGAAAAAGTATGGGCAGGTCACCATTGCTACTTTCATCGAGAAAGACATAGCTCAGTCCGATGAGGGCCAGTCACCAGGGTTTTGCGAAGCCTCCTATTCCAGCTCCTCGGCCGATATAGTTCTAGGTGCAGCTTGATCGATTGGAGAGAGGACACGAGCTTCCAGGATCACCGCCGTTACCTGCAGTCTCGAGACTTAAGTTACCTCTGCAGTCTGTTCCAACACTTGGTAAAGTCGTCGTCATTCGGTCTAGTCTTCTGTCTGATCGACAACGTGCGGCTGCTGGAACAACTGGCATCCAACGAGAATCTTGACGCCTTGGTAGACATGTTTGAGGACCTGGTGAGGACATGCAACAGACAAGACAGCATCGGGTTCAAGATAATGCTGTTGACACCCAGCAAAGGGGGCCGTCTCTTGTCCAGGATACAGGCCTCGAATACGCTTCGCGTCTCCGAAGATCAGCGGGGCGACATTTTCACGACGGATCAGTGTGAATCAAGACTGAAATCGTGGATCAGAATACCCAAAGACGCACGTTGAAGACCTGCCTACTTCCTCAGCTCGTCGATGAGGCAGGAGGAGTTTGGCCATCGGCGTCGGCCTACAAGTCTAGCTCATTTCATGGATCTTTTTGCTTTTGGCTTGATTGCTGTTTGAGAGCGTTTCGCACTTGATACCAGCTGCATTTCTTTCACGATAGGAACGTAGCTAGTCCTTCAGAGTGCGTAATACAGACTTGCACCTTGCAAAACAGCATCAATCTTTCCCGCCGCGACCGCACCCGATAGAATCTGGTCCGCACTCAGTTTTGCACCCGTCGCCAAAGAGAAAGTCTCGTGGTCGGATTTTAAGAGATCAATCGTGGCCTTGACCAAGCTCGTGAGCTGCGCGTCGTCGAATAGTGGCTTCTTCGCCTCGATTACCGTCACGCTCTGGGGAATCGAGACACCGACTGAGTCGTTAACGTGGTCGACGATCCGCTTGGAGTCTGCAGAGGAGAATGGTCCAGAAGCGTTGGCGTCGGCGAATCCTTTCCTGTTGATGGCATGGACGGCGAGTGAGGCGTTGAAGACTGGAGAAGATTCTCGAATGCCGCCATTGTAGGCATTGAGGACGTCTGTCAAATGGCGGACTGCAGTGTCGATTCCGGTAATGTCGTCGTAAACTGCTTGTGCGTCGCGTTTGGCAATCGTCCCTGCTAGGGCCAAAGGAGCCAGGAGGAGGACTGAGAGTCCGCGCATGATGGCTGTGATGTCTGTAGGTCCGCGAGAATCAGGCTGTGTTTTTTTCTCGGCCTTGACTTGCAACTTTATTCTCTCCGCAACAAGACTGTCTCTACAGAATACCTCGCAAGAAGCAGGCGCCAGTAGTTGCTTTATGTTCCCTACCAAACTCTACTCGCAGCCCTGTCCGAGGCTCTACAAAGATCGCCGAGGCGATCTGCATGTTGGATCAAGTTGATTGGCAAAATTCACGGGGACTAACCGAGTATTGATTGAAGAGCGGTAAGGTTTACGCTTGTACATGCGGCTCCAAAGAAACCGCCTCTCAACTCAACCTTCACCTTCGTCAGAGCGCAAATGACGTGCACCCTCGTATAACCTCGTTCCAGCATCGAGATGAAAGGTAGAGACGCTGCGAGAAGAAGGAACCTGGCACTTCAATGCGAGACGAAAAGAAGATCATCAAAAGGAAGAAATCTCTCGATCCAATATGGGCCAAAGCAACTATGGCCAGCGCTCGATCACGCCCCAAGTTCTTGAGATGACTTCCAAAACACCAACATCGCCATCAATTTGCCGCCAGCATTAGAACGACGGAGCGTTCAAAGCCATCAGACAAAGCAGGCCAGAGATCAGACCTGCGCAAGGCAAGGTCAAAACCCAGCCCATGAAGATGAAAGCAATTTGGCGCCAATTGACAGCTCCAAGATCATAGTTCATCAGCGCGACGCCGAGAGCCGCTCCAGTCAGGCACTGGGTTGTTGATACTGGCAGGCCAAGACGGGAGGCCATCAGGACGGTGATGGCAGCGCCGAGCTCGATCGAGAAGCCGCGAGTTGGCGACATCTGGGTGATCTTGTTGCCTAGGGCGCGAATAATATGGTATCCCATGAACCAGAAACCCAATCCGAGAAGAAGGCCACCAATTACGAGGATCCAGATTGGAGTGTCAGCTTCGGTCTCCACGACACCGCTCCTAAATGTGCTGTAGGAGGCGCTGACGGGGCCGACAGCGTTGGCAATATCTGTGTTCTACGTCAGCACTCGACAGATCCCGACAAGATCCACCTAGCGTCACTCACCGTTCGAGCCATGAGCAATCGACATAAGCATTGCAGAGACAACTTGGCAGTACGTCCAAAGATGCTCAACGCGGACGTCGTACCGATGCGCTTTTGCATGGATAGCACGAAGCAGGGCCGAGTCGTGGGTAATGGCGTCGATAAAGACTCCGCGCAGTAGCAGGAATTTGAACCATCCCCACCACTTCACGGGATTCGACCACCACATGTGTTGCACGGGAACTATCCAGCGATCGTAGGGCGAGACGTATTTGGACCGCCGACGCTGCATTTCCTCTGTATTCTCGGCGGCAGCAAGAACATCTGCTTCATGAGCACCCTTCTCGGTGTCTGTGTTGGGAGGAGAGTCGTCGCGAGTCGAGGAGTCGTTTGTGCTCCGGTTCACAATCTCGTCGAGCTTTCCGTCGTCCTTTGCGCCGGCGGTGACGTTTCCATACGAATCCTCGTAGTAGTTCTTGACGTACTCTTCACCTTTCCCTGGAAAGTAAAGCTTGACATCGTCCTTGAGAAGAAGTGGGCCCATGGGAATGTGCCAGATCCGAACACGTGGGTCCTTCATGATGAGCTTGCGTTTGAAGAATGGCATGAAGAAGATGTAGCAGATAATCAGAACTCCAAAGAAGACGGCAAGGATGATTCCGGCCACGACACCGCCACCAAGAGCATCGATGTCAGATCCAGGAGCTTCGATTGAAATGAACAAGGCAAGGATGGCGGCAGTTCCGGCAAAGTAGACCGGAATCAATCGCATGGCCCATTTGAAGCTGTCCTTGCGCTCCAAAACGGCATACTTGACCGTGGCGAAGACTATGGCGCTGAAGGCGGCTGCGATCAACGGCGCAATGGCCCACGAGGCTGCAACTTGCGAAACACTGCCGCTCTCCCAGGCCCATTTGATGTCAGACTGGGAAGCGAAACCGACACCAATCAAAGCCCCGACAATGGTCTGGGTGGTTGACACTGGCATACCCTTGGCAGTCGCGAACATGAGCCAGCTGGTATCATTGAAGTTAGCATCGAAAGACCAAGCCGGCCGCTACTGCACTTACCTCGCACTGCCAACTTCTGCACAGCCCATAACAAGCATCAGCACTCCAGGACGCCCTTCGAAACGATCGATTGTTATGATTCCGTTTTTGATGGTATCTGTGACTCGCTCGCCGAGAGCAACGGCACCCACGAACTCGGTACAGACCGAGAGGAATCCGACTTGCAGCATCGTCAACGTGCGAGCGGCGACGGAGGTGGCGTATGCGTTTGCGACATCGTTGGCGCCGTTACCAAAAGCGCTGAAGAGGTATGCAATGAAGGTGATGGCGAGGATCCAGTCATAGCGGGCAGTTGCCGACGACTGACGCTTCGTCAGCGTGTTGACGAGGAAGTCGAGCATCCTTGCGGAAAGAGGAAAGATGAAAGCGTGTTGAGCAAGCGATCGCAGACCAGGGAGTGTACGCACTGTTATATATACCAGCCATCCTCTAGACCTGGGCAGCCGCTTTCTTCAGCCTCGTAGGCCACGGGCATGGCATCGATCAATTGCGACAAGCGGCAACCACAGGTCAAGACTCCAAGCCTTCGACGAGGACAAGTACACGACGTTGTTTGACCCCTCTCTTTCTTCGGGCATGTCTTGGCTTCCAAGACCAACACCAAGAGATCTGCGGTCATCGATACGCAGCTGGATTTTTTGTGTTACGCAAAGATTCCAGATTGAGCCGGTATAATCGAGTGCAAACATGTCTGCAGAGCGAGACGTGCGATATTTGCAGAGCACCATGTTTCTGGCGAAGAGCAAGTTCTTCTTCTGTAAAGGCAAGAGATGAAGTTGAGGCAAAGTTAGGCTCTTGGTAGCCATGCCGTCAACCACATGGGCCCGCTCTTTTCCAAGAGCTTGGTTCGCCTTGCACGGGACAGGCACGGCCCGTCCAAGCGTGAGACCCAGTGCTTTAGCAACGTGCTAAAGTTACTAGTTCTGATTGGATGCAGTCATTCACTTCACAGCTTCTTCTTTAGGCAATTTTGTCTTCATGGGATTGCCACGAGGTCGGCATCGCCTGCAGATCAGCGAATGGCGTAGCAGGAATTGCCAGCATCTTATACATCGAAATGATTCAGGCCGAGTAACCGCCTTGGATGCAAACGAGCTTTCAGCCATGACGCGCGTGTGAGGCAACTGGTCGAGTGTCCATCTTCCGCGGTGCATTGAGGGCTCGTCGCAGTATGCCCCAGCAGATGGCCATAGTGAAAGCCTGGCATCTCTGTTAGCTGGAACGATGCTATCGTACCTGCTACAACCCAGCCCCATGGTCTCGTTCTTTCGCAACCTGGGACGAAGTTCTTTGGCCTCGGCCTTCGCTTTCAAATGCAAAGATGGTCCCACAATTGCCTGGCACCATCAACTTCAACCCATACTACTTGACGACAACCTCGCTTGCAGTGGCAAAATTCATCTGGCCACGCTGGGCATCTCTTGGTCACGGCATCTCGTCAATCTCTGCACTTGGCAAGAGGCGTTCGCATGGCCATTCCAAGGCTTTGGAATCCGCAGATGGTTTTGCCACGCATTCCTCCTCGCCCGACTCGTAGAACACCTCTCAACTCGCTAATTTCGACATACCTTTGCAAACTTTAGATGTGCAGTGACAAGGATTCCCAACGTGCCGCGGAATATACATCGTCTAGAAGTTGAAAAGTGACGAGAAAGCAATTCTCGAGATCTGCCTGGTAGACGTACATTCGACTTGACCCAAGAGAATCTCGGGTAGCTGATTGTCGCAGTGTCAAGATGGCGGAAGGATGCCCCTCAAGAATAGATGCATGTGAGGAACCCGCTATCCTTCAATCTGCTCTAGAGGCATACTGTCGTGCAGCGTAAACACCATAGCGATCCTTGGTCCATACTCTCAACCTCTTGCCCCAGATCATCATCGGGATGGTCAACAACGAGAGTGCGAGGCCGAGAACGGTTCCCATAATGAAGACGTTCTTCAATCCGATGCCATCGGTCCATTGTGTCAGAGTTGTGGCAATGATAGTTGCAAAGACGTTGCGCACGAAAACAATTCCGATGAAGGCGTCTCCAACAATCTATTGACAGTTAGCGCACTGCCTGCCTGGATGATCGAATGCGACCTGTCATCTCCAAATCGGTCGAGATGGCATTACTCACATCGGTGTAACTGTCCATGGCATACGTAAGAGCAACATCTCCCAGAACAACGAAGCCAAATCCAAAGAAGCCGAGCGCCACGGCTGGCACGATCCAGGCGTTTCCATCTGCCGTCGAAAAGCCGAGCCACAACAGCGAGAAAGGCATTATGATAACGCCTGGTAGAGCGGTCCAAAGCCTCATCTCAGGTTCAAATACTCCGCCGTTCCGTCTAGCGAGTCATATGATAGACCGGTCAGTCGCTAAGCCCGCAAATATCGAGCCGATCAAACCACCTATGAAGGGCGGAAGATTCATGAGACCGATCCCTGCGGACCCAAAGTTGTACGGGGGCATGGTGAAGTACACGCTGTATGTGGTTACCACCATAGAGAACCATGCCAGAAGAGAGCCGTACGTAAGAGCCGAGAAGGTGATAGCAGGAAGAGTGGCCAGAATGATGAAGGGCTGATAGGTGTGGCAGAAGAAAGTATGCCAGCCAGGTGTATTGTTGACGAGCGCTAGTCGCTGAAGATACGGCTTTCGAGGGATACTACTGTCCAAGTTTCGTGAGCTGGTGGCCGTCACTTGTGGAAGACCTTTGAGATCTTCATCCGGCGCGGAAAACGACTCCTCGACATCACCGTTTTCTGGAGGTCGAACGCCATAGGTCATAGGAGTGTACTTCGTGTCTTCGTAGAAGAAGAAGAACAAAAGCAAGCATATGCCCAGCAGGATGCTAGACCACCACCAGATCCAGCGCCAGCCTTGCGAGGCCGCAATATACCCGGCCGGGATCAACGAGAGGAAGGCTCCAACGTTGACCATGAAGAGGTATACAGCATTCGCGGCGCCTCTCTGATGCACGAAAAAGATATCGGCGATCGTCATTTGGCAGATCGTCTCTGCAGTTGCGCCTGCAAGGCCAGCAACAAGGTTTGAGCCAAGAAGGTCTCCGGACGTCTGCATTTTCCCCTGCCAGATACAAGTGGCCAGGCTCACTGCAATACTCATCAAGTACACTGGCCTGCGACCAAACTTGAGAGCGAACGGAATGAAGAGTATGCATCCGACGGCCAAACCAGCTGTGTTAACACCGAAAGATATGTTGCAGACCTCGAACGAAATGCCCAGGTCTTCATTGAGCTGTCCGTATATGACGGTTCCAATATCAATGGCCACGAAGACCATGAGAGTGTAGTAACAGACAAGGGTAAAGTTCACTGCCTTGTACCATTTCGGCCAGTTCAGGGGGTCGTTCACATAAGTACTTGGGATCGGATGTAGTACGACTTCTGCATTGTGGGCGTCGAGAACTATGTCGGATCAGCATGCGTTGTAAGTTCAATTTCTCGTGTGAATACTGACTTCGCTCTAAATACAGCGTTCCAGGCGGGAATTGTGTCGTATCTGCCATCCTAGCAGCAAGTCGTTCTAGCGGTAGATTTGAGTTGCAAATTTGACTCAACGTGATGGGCGCTGGTCGTGTCTATATCGTCCTGACGCACTGCTCTTGTTATCTCAATGCCCCTCACCTACACATGGTACAGTCTAGACAAGTGAGGTTCGTCCCGCAGTCTTGCGCCAATCAGAAGAGCTTGCAGCGCTACCAAGAAGCTCTTGACGGGTTAGAGCTGCCATATTGGAACTGCCGCTTTTTAGCTTACGATGTCTCCGCTTTGAAGGAGTCTTGGCCTATCTTTCTAGTGGGAGACCGTGACACAGGTGTCCTCGCATCTATGTCTGAGGTCAGTAAACATCTCTTGATCCTCTTGGTTTGCTCGTGTCTTCGCAGCAACACATCTGTGTGGGAGACGACTTACTCGCAAAAATAGGGGTCAGCTACACAACGCCACACATGCCTCAAGAAAGCTCGATAACTGTTTCATCTTCTAGTAGTAGAACAGATCGAATAGCAAAGTGAAACGTGCAGCCACATCAGCCAGCTTACCTCTCGCGATTGGACAGTGGAGAGAGAGACGCTTGATCCAGATCGGAGACCACCTCACACTGCCAGGATCTGATCCAATTTGCCGGACAAGTATGACGGGTGCACAAAATAGAACACACCCCTCTGAAAATATCTGGCAGGAGAAGAGAATGCAAATCAGTCCAGTCGCGATATCCGTACGCTTCCACTTGAAAAGAACAGGCAGCCTTGCCACCATTCTCGAAGAATTGACTTGAAAAGCCAAAGAATGCAATGTATGCATTTGCCGATAGCTTAAACAACACTAACAGTGCATTCTAGGTGCTTGGACGCTTGCAAATTTGGCGACAACCGAAGGAGAAATCAGGCTGCAGCTCTGGTGCCGTTGTTCGGGCGTTGAATATTGCTACCACTGGTGATACATTCACGTCACTGATACAACATCCGAGATGGCAACTCGCATCAACACTGTGGGCTCTGTCGTGCCCTTCAATTTGGGACTGGCTATAGCTACGCGGATACTGCAGGCTTACAAAGAGGCGTGGGCTTCAAGCTTTCCGCGTAGAGGATCCTTGGACGGGTACGTCTGATCCTACCAACAGCTCTGGTCTTAAGCAAAGAATATGTACCCAGCTGATGATGCATTGATCAAGAATCTTGGACAGGGTTGCAAGCAGTCGCTGCAAAGGTTTTTTGCGGCGAGGTGATAGAATTCAAGTAACCTTGGGTAGGCTGTTCAGGAGGTGCAGGAACGCATCGCTTTGCGCAAGAGCTGGAAGTCATCGTTGCCTGGGAAAAGCAAGGCTGTACGCACGGGCCTTGAAGTCCTGGTAGCGGCTGACCGTGTCTGTGACAAAACTACACGACGTTGACCATCCTGGACCTTCTGAAAGTTATTTCACAAATTACACAGAGATTCTGCAGCACTGCACTTGGTCCACAGTCTATTTTCTAAGCTTAGACAGGTCCTCCCGAATACTGATACATACAAGGCCCCCATGGAGTTGACACTTTCGCTTTCGCTTACGCAATGCTCGCATGCGTTCCCAGATACCCTGTTTCGGGATGGATCGAAGGAATGGGTACTTGTAAGTTTTCCTAACACCGCGAAATCAAACTTGGCGTCAACTTTAGGATGCCGTGAGAGGAACTTAAGTACTTCCACATCTCCATGGCCCAGTCAGCGCTTGTTGCATGAGATTGCACTCCATTTTGTGAAATCCTCGACGTTAGCAAGATATCATGTCTCATAAATTACAGCCGCAGGATCGACTGCCAACACGAGAAGAGTTGCATCGATTGATTCGTGACATCAATCGCTCTACAAGAGCCTTGGAGCTTCTGGATGACACACAGAACACAGCCTCGCACACGCTCGATAGCCAGACTCGTCCGGAAGCGTCTATCAAGGCCTCGCAACTGCTGCCTGCCGACCGATACGAGTTGCAAACAGCCTGCGAGTCGTTAGTACATGCAGCGAAGGGCTCCAAAGACTATTTATGCACGTTCGCACAGTCGCACCGGCCAGTTTCAGCCTTGCAGTATGCTGTCCACTTCCATCTTGCGAAGCATGTGCCACAAGAAGGCGTCGTCAGCTTCAAAAAATTGGCCACGAAGGCCGACATTCCCGAACCGCAATGTCAAAGAGCTATCCGAATGCTGGTGGCTTGTGAAATCTTCGAAGAGCCAGCAGTGGGCTATGTAACGCATAACAGATACTCCAGGTTGCTGGCTGATGACAAAGGAGAAGCAGCGTTGGGAATCTTGACAGACGAATGCTTCCGAGCAGCATCTTGCCTTGCTCCTGCGGCTACTCATTGGAACCATAGCCAAGAGCGGACCAAGGCCCCATTCAATCTGGCGTTCAATACAGAGATGTCTATGTTCGATTTCCAATCATCGCAAGAACCTTGGCGTGCAGAACGATTCCGTAAGACGATGGCATTCTTTGGAGGGAGTGGAAAGTCAAGTCTGGAGCACCTCATCCACGGATTCGATTGGACGTCGCTCACTGCTGGAACAACTGTCGTGGACATCGGAGGTAGCGGGGGCCATTGCATGAGAGCAGTGGCAGCGGTCAACACTGGAATTCATTCCATCGTACAAGACATCGAAGCAGGACTGGGAGACTATCAAAGCACAGAGACTTTTGAAAGAAGAATCAAATTTACAGTACATGACTTCTTCTCCCCGCAAACCCATCCGGCAGATGTGTATCTGCTGAGATGGATCTTACACGACTATTCCGACCAAGAAGCCGTCATCATTTTGAAATGCCTGCTGCCCGCATTCATGCCAGGGGCAAGAATACTGGTGATGGACAGTATCTTGCCGAGTCCCGGAGAAGTAACAAAAGCTGAAGAAAAGGATGCTAGGTGAGTTGAGAGTTGAGCGAAATGCAAGAAAGCGAGTCGAAACTTACCGTCTCACAGGCTGTCTGATATCGGAATGTGGGCGCTGCTGAATGGCCGCGAGCGTGATATATACGCCTGGACAATTCTCTTTCAAATGGCTGGCCCGAGGCTGAAACTTGTCAATACCATTACTCCTCAGGGAAGCGCTTTGTCTGTTATGGAGTTCCAGCTAGTCCAATAGTGTGAGAGCATGAGTCTCTTGATCCGTCTTTCCCGGCACATTGGTATGATTCGCCAGCGGCGTGCGAGAAATTTCCAGATTTGATAGTGCGGTCGCAGGGACTGAGCGCTTGTTTTCGTCTCCCCGATGTCTCATATTTGGGCAAGATGGCACCTCGGACAGTCACGCAGCCTTGGCATTCACAAGAGCCTTCCTTTTCTACACCGACTATTATTGCACTTGGACAATTCAAGCAGCGTAAGTGTCTAATTAAAATCTGTAATTCGATGACCTTTGATGAGAATACTGGAGCACGAATCGGGAGTGTGCACAGCTGAGGCTGAATTTGGACACGGTGTCGTGAGCCTCGTCCTCGATTAGGCTCATCAAGCGACACGTAAGACGATGGAATAGGTAAGGTTAACGACGTGCATGTATCAGTCGGTTCCTGCAGTGGCCAAGTACAAGTAAGTAGCTCGACGCACTTCTTTGTATCTTTGTTCAGAGGCGTCTTGCACTGAGCTAGCAGCTGTTGCCACTTGCTATTACTTTCCGACACTATTCCCTCCTTTTGACCTTTTCATACCTCATCATGGCCGACCCAAAGACAGACTACGCGGAGCCGGCATACGCGCAGCATCAAGACAAAAGTAAAGTTCCATACTACCGCTCTAATCTCGATGATCGTATCTCTCCCGATGTTAGTCTCGTTATCTTTTCAAGGACGACAAGAGGACGTTTGACACGGTCTGACTTCTCTGCTAGCTCAAAGAGCTGCTCGAAACGTATAGCCAAATCCCTCGCGACCAGCAATCCGCACACATCCATCGCATTGTAAGTCCTTCGCATGCCAGTATCTTTTCGCCTCCGGGCTAATTAAACCCTTAGCGCGATCTTGCTTGGGCGATCCGTCAATATCCCTGCACTGGCTCGGGCGGCTGGCTCAAGCCTCAGCTGCGTCAGCTTCCAATATACCCCGAGATCCTCACCCGCGCCAAAGAAGGGGCCACAATCATCGACATTGGCACCTTTGTGGGCCATGATCTCCGCCGCCTCGTCTACGATGGCGCCTCCTCCGAACACCTGTGGGGCATCGACATCGTGAGCCACTGGGACGTGAGCTATGAGCTCTTCAACGACCGTAGCCGCTGGAAGGGCCACTTTCTCGAGGCTGACTTCTTGACCGCTGCATCAAGCGATGCGTTTGCGCCACTCCGCGCTAATACCGACGTAATCGTCATCTCGCAGGTGCTACACCAGTGGGTTTGGGCTCAGCAAGTCCGTGGTGCAACCGCTTTGGTGGCGCTCACCAAACCAGGTTCGCTCGTGGTGGGGAATCAGATGGGCAAGCCTGATGCGGGAGAAGTCGTGCCAGCAGGCTTCACCGTGCCCTTGTATGTCCAAAGCCCTGAGTCGTTCGCGAAACTTTGGGAAGAGGTCGGTGCGGCGACGAGTACACGCTGGGAGACGCAGTGCTGGCTCCGCACGTGGGATCATATCGGCGTCGACAGCAAAGAATCGGCCTTCATGGGCCCTGATGTTGGAATCCTCGAGTTTGTCGCTCGCCGAACAGACTAAAATGAAAGGCATTTAGTTGACAGTACTGTAATGGAAGTATGTATCCTACATTACGAGTAAAACAGGGTGGCTAGCATCAGAATCGGAAGACAATGCAGGTTTCATGTAACGGGAAGAGAGGGTACAACTGCAAGTAGGTCATGTTTGAAAGAAATGTACAAGAACGAAGATTAGCTTAATGAACGTTCACTTACACTTTCAACGTGCCGTTTTCGTGCAACAGAAGGTTTATTAGCTGATTTTGAGCAAGAACTGACTGCATCTCAGTAGTCGCAATTGGATCCCAATATTTCCAAGAAATAGGTGGGCCTGACGGGAGATGAAAATGCATTCAAGCAAACGTCCTCCTGGCTCAGCTCATACAAGGCTTGAGGCGGCTGCTCGAAGAGATCTTTTAAAGCGATGATTGAGTGTGATTGTAGGTCGATAAGATGCTGTAGAAGTTCAGGCGAAAGAGCGTAGGGGTCGGAGGCCCGTGCGTCACAACGGGCCCCGCCTAAATCTTCTGCCGTCCCACGACTCCAACCTCCTTGTTTTCTTCTCAACCTGCTCTGGATCAAAAGCCATCAGCAATCAGCATGTTCTCGAAGCCTGGGGCGTTGCGGCTGAAGGTTACGGCTGCTGGAAAATCGTACACAGACAGGACATGGAAGACTTCTTAGTCAACTCAGTGTGGTTCCGCAGCACTCATCGTACGTATGTCCAATTGCATGGTCAGCTCAAAGGCTCGAACGTGCCAGGACGACGGCCATTGGAACAGCTGTACGAGGTCAAGCAAGTGGCGCTTAAGCCGGGATCCATCCGGTTCTAATGTGAAGACCATTCACACATACCGGAAGCTGGCGCAAGTTGACATACGGTTTCAACATCCTGCATAGCACCTCGTCTGCTTCACAACAGGTCAAAAATTCGATTGGCCTCTTGCCGGCTTATGCCATCTTCCGGCCCCGCTTTGAAGAGGCAGTATATCTATGAGTGAGTATGTGAGTGTTTCCATCATCTTTGATCGTTCTTCACACCTCAGAATGCCATCTCCACTACCCTCTGACCATCTAGAACGAGTCTACGCTGGCGTCGTAGGCAACGTCATCGGTGTATACCTCGGAAGACCATTCGAAGGCTGGCCACGCGAAGCTATCCTCAGCGAACTGGGACATGTGCGATACTACGTCCACGAGAAATGCGGGGCTAGGCTGATTGTTGTGGATGATGATATCTCTGCCACTTTCATGGTTCCTCGTGCGGCATTTGACGAACACGGCCATCGTTCAGACCTGACATCCGACGAAATTGGAAGCACTTTACTCAACAATGCCGTCGAAAATGGGACTACTTACTGGTGGGGTGGGCGAGGACTGTCAACTGAGCATACAGCCATGCTCAATCTTCTTGGCGGCATATCTGGAGAGCATAGCGGGTCAGTTGAGACGAACGGTGCAATCGTAGCAGAACAGCTTGGTGCACAGATCTTTATCGATGGGTGGGCACTTGCAACTCCTGCCCAACCGGACGTCACAGCACGACTAGCTACCGCCGCTGCAAAAGTCACCCATGGTGGAGAATGTATCTATGCTGCAGTTGCTTGGGCTGTCATGGAGTCCGAAGCATTTCGGTCAAACGACGTGAAGCACCTTTTCAGCACGGCGCTCAAGTATATCCCCAGCTCATCTGCGATCGCGCGCGTATACACAGAGATCCCTGAGTGGGCAGATATCGACAAAGACTGGGAGAAGACCCGTCAGAGGATCGAGGACAAGTATTACGGCCTCGGATTCGGTCATATCCTTCCAAATCATGCGATCAAAGTTTTGGCCCTCGTGTACGGCGGCCAATCGTTCCATGAAGCTCTTTACATTACCGTCACAAGCGGAATGGACACCGATTCCAATGGAGGAAACATCGGCTGCCTCTTGGGAATCATGCACGGTCTCGCCGGTATTGATCAGGGTGGACCGAACTGGCGTGGACCCGTCAGCGATCGATGTTTCGTATCCAGCGCAGACCCTGGCTACGCTGTCAATGACATGGCATCTATTGCTTACGATTTCGTGAACATGGGCCGTAAACTCGTCGGCGAACCATCGATAGTTCCGAAGGAAGGAGCTAAATTCCACTTCACCTTGCCGGGCAGCGTGCAAGGCTTCCAACAACCCAAAGACCCGTTCTTGGCGAACATTGAGCAAGCCATGGATGACGGCGAAACTCCACACCTCGCCATTCGCCTTCGAGGCCTGTGCCTTGGTGTCGAGTCGCCAGAGACCTTGACCACTGTATCCCTTGAACCCGAACTCAGCGGCAAACAGCATTACAGCATCTTTGCATCCCCGACGCTGTCTCCTGGACAGACGGTCAAAGCTTATGTGAAGTCATGCCCGAAAACGACCGCGGCAGTCACGGTGCAACTCATCTTGAAAAGGATCGAAAAGTATATTTCATTGACCACCGAACACGGACCTGCCCTTGTACTACAGCCGGGCAATCGTCAAGTCATCGAATGGACGATCCCTGATGACTACGATGGCCAACCGATCCAGCAAATTGGTCTAGGTCTGTCCGTTCCTGCATCCGAGGGAGGTCGCGCAGATGGTACGATTTGGCTGGAGAGCCTGGATTGGAGCGGTACTCCAAGCACGACGCTTGTCAGACCCAGCGACAACATCATTTCGCTTCCAACACTGGCTTCCTTGACCGCCGCGATGTGGAGGCTCACGTGGCTCAACAACGTATCGAGCTGGATCGAATACATGCCTCAATCATTCTTCCTTACGCAGCGATTCGGAGAGGGTAGTCTGATTTATGGGTCGCGAGAGTGGCATGATTACAGTGTCACTGCTAACGAACTCACCATCAACATGTCTAGGACGGGAAGTGGACTTGCTGTCCGGGTTCGAGGTCTCAATCGCTGGTATGCACTGTTGTTCCAGCCAAAGGGCAAGATTGCTCTGGTCAAAGCTGCGGATCGGAGGAGAGATGTCCTTGCCAGCAAGACTTTCAAGTGGAGCACGCATACCGCCTACCAGGTGGAGGTCTCTGTTCAGGGTGCTCGTTTGAAGGGCTACGTCAACAATGAGCTCTTGTTGGAGGCTCAGGATGACACTTACAAATCAGGTGCAATCGGGATGATTGTCAGCGAGGGCAGTATGTCCGTCGACAAGATCCAGGTTGGGAAGGCAGAAAAGTGATTTTAAGGACATATCGTGCGCGAAGCATTGTATGAGACAACACTACGTCTTTTGAAACGCCTGCATCCACGATTCCGCCGCTATGGCTGGATTCATCTCTTTCAATCGCTTCTCAGTAATTAGATAGGCTGAAGGCACACTGCCAGCATGCTCTCGTCCCAACACCAGGTCTGCGATATACTTCCCACACAGATACGCATTTGGCATTCCATAGCCATTGTACCCAGCGGCAACGAACTCATTGTTGCCTTCACGTAGCGTCGCCATATTCGGTAACTTTCCTACCAAGGGCAGGCCATCTACTGTGAAGCCCATAACCCCAGTCCAAGTAGCTCTAATCTCCTGACGTACAGGCGTTCCAAATGTAGCATCCATGATACCGCCAAGATGCGCAATCGACCTGACACAATTCGCATCGTCTCGCGGATTTCCAATTTCCAATAGCGGATCGGAGTTGATCAAAGCGCCTCCGATGAAGATCTCACCACTGCTAGGGCTCTGTGTGATGTAGTCGAAACCTTTGCCGTAGTGGATTGCCCATGATTGAGATCCGCCTTTCACGCCGAAGTCTTTCCATGGCGTTTGGGCGGTCATTTGGCCTCGGAGAGGGAATAAGGCTCCCCTTATGCCGGGTAGCAGATGGCCGGCGTGACCTGGAGGAAAGAGGTCAGTCAAAACCCGCCGGTCATTGTGTGGTTGACTACCATACCATTTGTTGCATGTACTACATATCGAGCTTTTATCGGCCCCCTCGATGTTTGTGCTGTATACGTCGCAGTATCTGCACTGTACTCGATCGACTCAACCGGAGTGTTTGATTCAATACTGAATCGCTCAGGACACGTATCGAGCAGGTTGCCGAAGACACTTGTGATGAGACGATACGGCCACGCTGCGCCGGCTGCCGAAACCATGCCGCCTACTGCATTCAAAACTCCATGTTTCTGCTTCTTAGAGTTAGTAGGTAGATAGGTCTCATGACTAGGTACGACTCACCTCAACAAGCTCGTCCTTCTCAATGATCCTCGCTCTGCCCTTCAAGTCCGGGTTGTCCGCATCGAATCTGCCCACTACTTCTTTCGCATGCGCAAAGCCCTCCTCATCGGTAAAGATATTCAAAGTCTCCACCGATCGGACCTCACTATAATCTCTTTGCTTTTCAGGAAGGCCTTCCGCTAACTTCAAAAGCTCTTGCACGTTCTTTAACGTGAAATGTACAACTTCCTGCGCTTTCTGCTTTCCGATCTCTGGAAGCAGAGCAGAATATGAAATCTCAGGAACAGCCTTGATGTGTCCTCCATTTCTGCCTGTTGCTCCTGAAGTGACGTTTCGAGCCTCTAGAATAGTCACCCGAAGACTGTTGTCCCGTTCGAGGAGTTGTTTTGACACACCGCATGCAGTTATGCCTGAGCCGATAATCAATACATCTGTCTCGTTTGGCAGGTCAGCAGATTGATGTTGAGATATTTGATTTGGCGGCTGTTGCCAGTGAGCAATTGTTGAGTTCGTAACTGGCAAGCCGGGGTCTCGTCTCAGCTGTTCTGTTAGAAGCTGGACATGATCCGTCAGGTGTTTTGTTTCGTGGCCATACTCCGTGGATCGATGTTCTGATGCAGCGTCGCCATTGGTTTTAGCCATAGTATCAGATCAGGAATGAACTGCCGCTAATTCGAGATTGATTCAAGTCAGCCTTGTCTGTAAATGATCCGTGCTGAGACAGTACATTCCAGGCCGTGCTGCGTGAGGACGTTGCCTTGAGGAAACGGCAGCTCGGAGTGCTCTGTGTAATTCCGCGTAAAGACGCGATGCGCGCGTATGAAAGCTCGAGATTGATTCGTGATCTCGGCAAGTGTTTCGGGCAAAGTGTACCGCGCACACCTCGCCCATTCACTTGGCGGGGCACGGTTGCGCCTTCTAAATGCGGAAGGAGCGGGGGCGCTGGGGCCAAGGAAGCGGCGTAGCTGTCCGCCTAGGTTGATAAGCTGGGGTCAGGAACGACCACACCCTATCACCGACAATGCAGCAACGGTGTTGTTTCTGTTGATACTGTACAGTACTCTCGAGGACATCACGGTCGTTTTCCATTTACTGCTCGTTCAATTTGGTGAACCTTTCCCCAAAGACAGCTTCGTGGAACGATCGAACTATCCAACGACCATGTCGTATTGGCAAAAGAAAGCAGCGGCAAAGCGCGAGGCCAATCTTGCAAAGATACCGAAAGGATGGCTCCTGCCTGCAGAGTTTCTCAAAGCCGACCAAACTTCCAACGAAAGTGTGCTTGATGTGCCGGCCAAGTGTGGCATCCTGTCGCCGGAGGAACTTCTGGTAACTCAGAATTTCGACGCAGTCTCTCTCGCCAAAGTGGTGCAAGTCGGTTCGCTCAAATCAGAAGATGTTGCAGTTGCATTCTGCAAGAGAGCGGCCATCGCCCAGCAACTCACTAATTGTCTCACGGAGACTTTCTTCGACGATGCCAGAAAGCGGGGGAAGTGGCTCGACGAATATCTGGCAAAGCACGGTAAACCTGTTGGACCTCTCCATGGACTACCCATTTCAATTAAAGATCCTTTCAACTACACCGGCGTCCAGTCGACTTTGGGTTTGATTTCTTACCTGGACCATCCTCCTGCAAAGGAGAACTCCGCGTTAGTGGATACGCTCCTCGACCTGGGAGCTATTCTGTACTGCAAGACGAATATTCCTCAGACTATGATGACGGCGGACTCGGACAACAACACGTTCGGCCGTACGCTGAATCCGCACAGGCTGTCCTTAGGTGCTGGTGGAAGTAGCGGAGGCGAGGGTGCGCTGGTGGCCATGCGTGGCTCTGTTATCGGTGTCGGGACAGATATTGGAGGTAAGTTCTATATTGACAGAGTCCATAATCAAAGATTGAACAATCACAGGAAGCGTTCGCATCCCTGCTCTCGTCAACGGGACTTACGGGTTCAAGCCCACGCCAAACAGAATCCCATACGGAGGCCAAGCATTCGTCTCGAGACGTGGATCGCCCGGTTTCCCGGCCTGTGCTGGCCCCTTGACAAACTCGTTCGAGGACATGGAGTTCTTCGTCCGCAGCATTGTGGACACGAAGCCCTGGGATCGGGATGCCACTGCAATTGCGTACCCGTGGCGTTCGGAGACGGCCAATATCAAACCAAGCAAGCTGCGGGTTGGATACTTCCAAGGAGACTCAAAGTTCCCAATTCACCCACCGGTTCACCGTGCTATTGAATCTGCCGCGAACGTTCTGGCGGCCGCTGGCCACGAGGTGATCCCTCTAGAGCAGACACCGCCTCTCGATATTGCATTGGGTCTTAGTACTGACTACTGGTGAGTCTCTGAGTTGTACAGCCACGATTTATAGTATCGAATAGCAAGAAAAATGTTCTCGATCTGCCGCTTTGGACAAGCTGACGTCTGATCTAGGTCCCTGGACAATACTCGTACGTCCATGCAACACATCAAGAACGGCGGGGAGCCACTCATCCCTTCGCTTGTTAAGCAAGGGCCTACCTTGACGAAGAAAGAAGACGGCTATTCAATGGACGATCTGTTCGAGATAAATGTCGACGCCGGAGAGTACAAAGCCTCCTGGAACAGCCTTTGGGCTCAGAACAAGTTGGACGTTATCCTGTGTCCTGGTGCTGAGACTACGGCCGTGCCGCACGATACCTTCGGAATTCCTCCCTACACATTGGTTTGGAACTTGCTACAGGTATGTTGAGTTGTACTGATCTTGAGTTTTGCTGACGAGAAGTAGTACCCGGGCATCATCATCCCAGTGGGCAAAGCGGATAAAGCAATAGATAAAGACTCCTTGGCCAGCAATGACTGGAAGAGAAAGTGTATGTGAACAAATTGCAACATATGTCTTCGGCCTGCTAACATCCAACAGACAGCAGTGAGGACATCCACGGAGCCCCAATGGCCATCCAGCTCGTCGCCCGCAGCTTCCAAGACGAAGAACTCATCGCGGCCGCGAGAGTTATCGACCAGTGCCTGAAAATTGCGGAGAACACTGGCTCCAGCAGATAGAATACGACAGCATCACAGACCAGACATGCTAGCCTTGGCTGTTTTCTCCGTCTCCATCTCTGCTATCATCAAAGTTTCTTGCAACCTCCACAGCTTCGGTAATTAAGCCATCATTATCGATTTTCATAATTTGGAAACACTCGTTACTGACAGTGCTCCCATCCGTCCGCAAAAAGTAGCAGATATGTCGATTCGCGAGTTTCGTGTAGCCGTCCTGCTTCTCCGTGATCAGATCATGGACCTCGACTTTGACAGATTGCATTCGACCACGAAGCTGTGCGCAATATTTGGCCAGCTTATCCACCGCCAGCAGCTCCCCGTCGACGGTCCAGCGTACAGAAGCAGTGGTGTACTTTAGAAGTGTCTCCTTCATCGCGGCCTCTGTCGCCTCGCCGATCATAACATCCTTCCAGGAATCTTGGATGAATGCAGCTGCCCATTTCGCTGCTCCTTCTGGGTTGCTCATGTTCTCGTTTCGATTGTCTCGGATGCGGGTCATTCTTCGTTCAGAGTATAACGTGGTGGTTCAAACAGAGCTGTAAATTCGTAGTTAGCACTTGCGTTTTATTCAGGCGTAAAGCTTTGTCAGACCGGAGCTACTAGGCTTCTCCAAGCATGTGGTCGCTCGATTTGGGCAACGCTGAGTGTCGTTAGTCAGCATTGAACACATGCCACTTTTTGCGACCTCGTCATTTTGATCGGTGCACAATCCAACTCTGAACTCCTTCTATCGCCGTCTCCTTCGTGATTGGAAATGCAATTGATCCCGGAAATAACTTTAGACAGCTGGGATGAACGTCGCAGCAGAGAATGACCAGAAGGCGCCTGATGTTGGGCGATGTGCTCTCTGGAGAGTCGTCGTCGACAAACGGAGAAGACTGGCTCTCGGCCGACAACTGCGACAGTGAGAGTATATCAGTTATCGAACAGCTTGGGGCAGAAGCACCACATGTGTTTACCACTCTGCGCGCTCCTTCCCCATTCAGCCTAGCGCCCACGCTAAAGACAGATTTCGCCGCAACTTCGGCAGAACAAATCTATACCCTCATATATCTCTTAAAGCACTACCCCTCCGTTGAATCAGAGTCAACCGGCGTGGTGGTGGAGTGGTGCAGCGGTTGAGTTGGAATTTGGGTTGGGTTTAAGTTGGACGAGGGTTCGAATCCGGGCGGCTAGACGACTGCATGATGTAAGGATTGCGAACGGAGGAACGAAACGAAACGAAACGAACGACCGACCGACCGAACGAAACGATCGAGCGAAACGACCGAATCGAATCGACGGCGGAAAAAAAGTAAGACATGAAAAAACACTTTCTGTCTTCACCTAATACACCGAGTATTAGGTCTTCTTGTTTTGTCAATCCCCAGTATCTCAGCCTTTTTGGCTCCTCTTTTGTTTTGCTTGACGCCACTTCATGCCTTTCACCATGACTAGGAGCAAGAGTGGCGTATATGCTAGGCAAATACACGCGATGACTGTGAATGCCCACCCTTCGCCCATTGCCTGGATCATTGGGGCTATCGCAGCGCTGGCGGCAGCTCCTATCTCTGATCTGGCTAAGTTCCCAGCGGCCGTGATCGTAGCAGGTTTCGAGGGGTACACATCGATCATTAGGACGTTCAAAGTCTGGAATGCTGCTGAGTAGCCGTAGCCTGCAATGAAGATGACGATGATCGGTCCTGCCAGATTGACTTTCTGATTCGTGACCCATCCAAACGCGATGGTGCTGACGACGGTGAGAATCATGAGCGGAAGAGCAATCTCCAGCCGTGGCCGTTCAATATTGAAGTCAGAAAGGTCGTACTGCCGGTTCCTCGTCAGGGGCAAGTTGTGCCTGCGTGCATGTCTTCGATAGTTCCAGTCGATGAGCTTGCCGGTCGTATAGGCACTCACAATTGCACCGGCGCCGAGCGGTATGAACATGAGCGAGACTTGCAATGTGTTGAAACCGTAAAGCCGTCCGAATATGTCCGAGAAAACTGTCCCCATGGCATACATGCAGGCCAGAATCAGAGCACTGGCGACCAAGACAATGACGCTTTCGACATCCAGGAATGCTTTCAGGGGTAGCAGCGGATTGATGTCGCCAAGTCTATATTGACTGTGGAGTGGAATGGGGGCTCGTTGTTCGTGGTCTTTCTTCGCACGAAATGTTTTGAAAGCATCCCAGGCACTCATGTTTATGACTGGCTTCAGTAACGATCCATCCCCTACGACTTTACGACAAGTCTCAGGTAAGAACATTCCAAGAGCGAGGGCCAAGACTCCAGAAGCAATCAGCAAGAACCAAAAGACCGAATGCCAGCCTAAGTACTGTCCCAGAAGCCCTCCAAGAATAGGCGCAACCACGGGAGCTGCGACTTGTGGGATCGAAACGAATGCGATGTAGCTGCCTCTCTCGGCGGATGTGACAACGTCTCCAGTGACGCCTTGCGCGAGAGATATCGTGCCCGAAGCCCCCAAGCTCTGGAGCATCCGTAGGAGGAGTAAAGCCAAGAAGCTGTTCTGTAGTCCAAGTCCCAGGTTGGCTGCAATGAAAATGATCAAGGAGACGATGTAAGCAGGTCGTCGTCCAAGATTGTCCGAGAAAGGAGCCACCAGAAGAGAAGACACACCTTGCATGACCAAGTATAGCGTCACCGTGAGGTTGATCTGGGTCGTGTCGACTCCTAGATCGCGGGCAATGGTCGTGATTGAAGGGAAGTAGATCGAGCTACTGAGCGGCGAGAAGAAACTGGCCATGGCGGCTGTGAAGACGATCCATCGCTTCTGAGAGGTGGTAAAGACTGAGTAGGGTGTGTCATCCTCAATGAGACGATTGACCAAGGCTTCGTCGTTTGGGTCTGCTGGCGGTGCCTCGTCTTCTACTTGGCGTTGTTCTGCTCCATCGGCTAGGTCTTCTCTTGAATCTTTCTCGTTGAATGGCGGGTTAACAATGTCTTTATCTTCTTGCCCTGGATTCATGTTAATGTCCCTATCAAAATTCTCGGGCTCAGGATCGTCTTGGCTATCGAATGCTGCTCCCATCACCGCTCAGGAACGTCGTTCAGGCCTGTCGTACTGCGAAGAGCCAGGCGATGGGCATGCAGAGGGGAGTGCTCTGTCGGTGGAATCAGAGAACGCCATGTTAGCCGAAGCTGATTCAGCTGCAAGATTCGGAGTTGGAGGCACCATGGAATCTCCATTTGCGTGTGCGTGACTAGAGAGAGGTAGAGTGGCGGTAAAGGTTCAACTATTACCTTATGCAGTTGGTGCAGCGCTGCTTTGGTGCCGCATAGCCGACCGAGTGTGGATGATGTGGATTTAGAACTCACCC